GGTGGCTTGTCCAAGTCACACATGAGAAGGTTGCCCAGTGTCATAGCAGACTGGCTGACTCAATTTCAGCCTCTTAAATACCGTCCTAATTACCTTTCCTGCTGGCTTAGCAGTTAACGCTTCGTTAGGCGGGTCGCTCACTGTCCTCAATCCTGTCTCGTCATCATTTATTGTCACTCATAAAGCAGGAGTAGTAACACCTCCCAGTTCATGTGAAAATGTCAGGCACAGTGCCTGGTGTATGGTAGGTTCTTGATAAGCGTTCCTGCACCTCTGGGTTCCCCACCCGATGCTCGGTGCCCTGCTGCATTGCAGAAAGCACCTATAAACACAGCAGATGCTGTGTGAGTGGAGCCCCCAAGCCTCAGAGTGAGAGCGAGCATTTGCCTGCATGCCTGAGTAAGTACTGCTTGAGATTAACACCCCAGCAGCCAGAATTACCACGTGAGACTGGAGTTGTCTGAAATGCTTCCAGAGCCCAGTGTCAGTCTGTGCTATGTCTCTCTAACCCAGTGAAGAAGTAGGAATTTTAGTATTCAGTTTTTCAAGAATCCTCTTCCAAGCTTCCTATAGCAACAGGAAGAAACAGGATCTATTGGCGCTAGTTGTGGAGTGCTGTTCTCTGATCCACGTTCCCTGCTTCTGCAGCCTCTGTCTAGAAAGAGTGCTGGCCCCCCAACCCTGCTGTGGAGTGTCAGGGCACAGGCTTCCTGCCCAGGCCATGGAACCAAGGCACTGGCATACTCTGGGCCCCGCAGCCTTTTCCTGTGGAGGTTAGACTTCGTCCGGGAGGCCCTCATCAATCATTCTTATTATCTTCAAACCGGGTCTTGTTTAGATAGTACCAGTTGACATTGGTATTCAACTCTACCCAAGCCCCCAGAACAAAAAGCACAACAAGGAACAATGGTTAAGTATGGAGGGGTAACTCCTAAATGTGTAATGAAAAGTTCACCTGGAAGAGTTGAAGTCCCATTTCTGCTGATGGCTTTTCATGATGTTTCTCTTCCAATGCAAGGCACTGTTTCTTTCCTTTTTCGAGAATTCTTTGGGCCAGGTGCGGTCACTCATGCCTGTAATCCCAGCACTTTGGGAGGCTGAGGTAGGAGGATTGCTTGAACCCAGGAGTTTAAGACAAGTCAGGGCAACATGGTGAGGTCCCATCTCTTCAAAAAGTAAAAAAAAAAAAAAAAAAAAAAAGTTTTTTAATTAACTGGGCATGGTAGTGTACACCTGTGGTCCCAGCTACTTGGGAGGCTGAGCTGGGATGATCGCTGGAGCCCAGGAGGTCAAGGCTGCAGTGAGCTTTGATTGCACCACTGCACTCCAGCCCAGGCAACAGAGTGAGACTCTGTCTCAAAAAATATATATAAAGAGTCCTTTGCTTGATCACTGTATGTTTCATTAGCTTCTCCTTGAGAAACAAGGCTTCCCCTGAACCAAGGCATAGTTAAGTGATTTTATTATTTTCGTGTGTTGGGGTGGGGGAGTCCGGGGGGAAATTGTCTACCAAGCACCTTGATATAGTGTTTCGGCTTCAGATAGACCTGGTCGTCCCATCTCTGTCATTACCAGCTATGAAATGTTGTGCAAGATACCTAATCTCTGAGCTTTTGAACTTCCTCATCTCATTGTTGAGAGAACTAAGTGAGATCATGTGTGAATAGTGAATGAGATGATACATGCTTAGGGCCAGGCAAAGTGACCAGCTAAATTAGGCCTTAATATAGATATCTTGGGCAATTCAGGATATGACCCAAACCTTCACACATCTGTGGTGGATGCTGGCAAGCATTAGCCATCTGAGGCTGGAGGGCAGTGGTATAATCATAGCTCCCAGCCACCTCAACCTTCGGGCTCCAGTGATCCTCCTGCCTCAGCCTCACTCAGCTGAAACTATGAGTGTGCCACATTTTTAAAAAATACTCCAGGCAAGGTCAACTTTTACTGTTTTGTAGTACTTAAATCATTTTCTTAGTTCACTAAGCTGACTTAAATTTAAAATCATGACTCCACTTAGCGTTTGCTAATTGCTTCTTTTAACTTGACCAATGGAGTTGTGCCCAGCCAGTGTATTCAAGCATATCAGTTCTTTTCACATATATTCCAAATGTGGACGCATAGTGACTTGGCCAGTGATTCTCAGAAGGAGTTAGGTGACAGGCATATGGAATAACAAGTGATTCTCAGGAAGGATTAGGTGACGCGCATGTGTAATAACCAGTGATTCTCAGGAAGGGTTAGGTGACACGCGTGTGTAATAACCATTGATTCTCAGGAGGAGTTAGGTGACAGGTATATGGAATAACCAGTGATTTACAGGAGGGGTTAGGTGATGCGAATGTGTAATAACCAGTGATTCTCAGGAAGGGTTAGGTGACATGCGTGTGTAATAACCAGTGATTCTCAGAAGGGATTAGGTGACTCATGTGTGTAATAAACAGTGATTCTCAGGAGGGGTTAGGTGACATGCGTGTGTAATGACCAGTGATTCTCGGGAGGGGTTAGGTGACGCGCGTGTGTAATAACCAGTGATTCTCAGGAGGAGTTAGGTGACAGGTATATGGAATAACCAGTGATTTACAGGAGGGGATAGGTGATGCACATGTGTAATAACCAGTGCTTCTCAGGAGAGGTTAGGTGACGCGCATGTGTAATAAACAGTGATTCTCAGGAGGGGTTAGGTGATGCGCGTGTGTAATAACCAGTGATTCTCAGGCGGGGTTAGGTGACGTGCGGAATAACCAGTGGGAATGTGAGGAAATCCCAGGCCCTTTGCTCAGTCTTGCTTTGAGCTGCTTTGTAACTGGTGACAGGGCATATCACCGCCTCTTTCTATGGCTTCCTTCTTTAATGGAGAGTTGTCATGTTGAGATAATTGCTTATAAGCTGTTTTGAGATTATGAAATATACAAAGCTGCCAGTTTGGAAAGTAATAGTCATCACCATGGAAGAGCTTCATGTCGATTGGCACTGGGGGCATCAAGCCCTGCCTGGTTCGCAGTGTCTACCCAGAACATTCTGCTCCAAATCTTGCTGCAGAGCTGAGGAATAGCTGATGACTTAACAGCACCTGTTTAGTTTGGCCTCATCCGATGAGCTCATTGAAAGTCACCTAGGATGCTCATTGTATGAGTCACATCTTCCAAATCATATGGAGAAAGAAGCCTCTTAAATAAGATAAAAGGTAATGCAGAAAACATTTCACATAACCAGAGCATTAGAGTATCAAGTCAGTCCATATTAGACCTCTCTACTGTTTCTTTCTGGTTTGTTTTTGGGTTTTCCTGGTAATAAATTAGAGTTCTTTTTCCTGTGTGGAGCCTGGTCAGGAAACCTTGCGTGGGAGTCTTCATGTCATTGGTTTTCTTATCTCTTAAATGAAGATGCAGGTCCCTTCCTGCTATTCTGTGTGTGCACATTCCTCAAGCATTTAACATATACTATCTGCTGATTTGAAGAAACATTAGGAGTCATTTGAGCTTCCCATGGCTCAGGAATCATCCCCGTACAGTGTGATTATTTTAAACAAGTTCTCTAGGTATTGAATTTTTCCTTTCCCCAAGAGCTCTATAAAAATAGTGGTTTCTCGCCAGAGACAGCAAGACCTCAGAACTACTGACCTCTTTCTATGAACATATTATATGGCTTGTGTTTGGCTTAGGATCTTTTTAATAGACCATCCAGCTCTGCTGTGAGAGGCTGACTCAGCAGAACCCCTCCAGCTCTTCAGGGTTAGAGATTAGAGTGCCCTTCCCTGTGGCCCCGCGACAGGCTGGGAGCTGGTACTGTGCTTCCTTCCTGCCATGCCCTTGAGGGATGTCACACTCCAGCATTGCCACCTAAGTTCCCACGAGTCAGTGCTGCCGACTGCCACATAGTCCAGGAATCCAGCTACTTTACTGAGGTGTCTTCCAGAGTGTGTGGTTAGAGCCACGTAGTCCAGAAATCCAGCTGCTTTACTGAGGCATCCTCTAGAGCATGTGGTTAGAGCCACATAGTCCAGGAATCCAGCTGCTTTACTGAGGCATCTTCAGAGCGTGTGGTTAGTGCCACGTAGTCCAGGAATCCAGCCACTTTACTGAGGTGTCTTCAGACTGTGTGTGGTTAGTGCCTGGGTTGAAGCAGCTCTGTCACTTGTTCACTGCCTGGCCAGGGACCACATTGGTGCCCTCAACAACATTCTCTCCCTGTACCCGGCTCAGGCCCTGTTGCCCATGTCTTCGTTTTACCCTCTCTCTACCCTACCAGAGATTCTCTTTGCCTTCCCTTTATTAAAATCCTGACACAATCCCAAAGGTTTTTAGGATTGTAAGATTCTACATGCCTACCTCTTTAAATGTTTTATTATGAAAATATTTAGATATATTCAAAAGTAGAGGAAACAGTATGGTCAGCCTCACATACCTGTCTCTTAGCTTCATGATCTTATTTCATCTACATCTCTTCCCAGTAATCTCATATGATTCTGAAGCAACATCCCCACATACCCTATCATTTCCAGTTTTCTGTTTTAAAGAATCCCAGACTCCTCCCAGTTACTGGGAGTGTCTTAATTCCTCTCCAGGCTTCTCGTCAGCTACTAGCCACCATTCTGCTCTCCCAGGCTGCCGGTCAGCTCAGGAGTCCAGGTTCCTCCCCGCTCCGCTGCAGTCCCTGCGGCGGGCACTTGGCAGGGCAGCAGGATCCGTCACAGGAGGGCAGCTTTGCTGGGGAGGGAGGCTGTATCAGGCATGCTGGGGACAAGGCAGGAAAAGGAGAGGGCCTCAGTGCACTTCACTCTGTCCTAGGTTCACTTCACTGTCGGGGTCAGCTGGGCACACTCATCTTTGTCCTGAGTATCAGTTCCTACAGAATGTTAAGACAAATTCTCAAGACAAAAGGGTCTGATTGCTGTGATATGGAGCTGTGACCTGATTTCCACTGAAACCTTTCCCGTCCCCAGTAACAGGTGACACTGTCCTGTGAAGATCTAACACGTTGTCCTGTCTCCATTTCAGATGCAGTGGCAGAATGTGGAGCATGTCGGTGACCAGAGCCCCTACGTCACCTCTGTCATCCTTCACATCAAGCAGAATGTGCCCATCATCCGTGACAACCTGGCTTCCACACGGAAGTACTTCACTCAGTTCTGCATTAAATTTGCAAAGTAAGTCCTGAGATCTTCTTATCTCTGGGTTTTTTAAAAATAGACTTTATGTTTTAGAACAGTTTCATCATTCACAGCCAAATGGGGTAGAGGACAGAGATTTCCTGTGTACCCAACCCCACACATGCACAGTCTTCCATTACTGATACCTCCCCCCCACACACACACACAAAGCAGTACCCGACCCCACACATGCACAGTCTTCCATTACCGATACTGCCCCCACACACACACACGCAAAACGATGCCCAACCCCACACACGCACAGTCTTGTATTACCAATACCTTCTCACACACACACACACACACACACACACACAGTGGGTACCCAACCCCACACATGCACAGTCTTCCATTACCGACACACACACAGACACACACACAAAGCAGTGTCCAACCCCACACATGCAGTCTTGCATTACTGATACCCCCCTGACACACACACACACACACACACACACCGTGTTACAGCTGATAAGCCTGCACTGTAAGCTTATCACTTACAGCTTATCACAAGTGATAAGCATTATCACTGGACTCCATGGTTTACCCAGGTCATTCTTAGTGCTGTACACTCTGTGAGTTTGGACAAACATAGAGTGACTTGCAGCCACCACTCCAGTGTCACACTCAGCTGCATTGTTTTTAAAACCATAGTTCCCACCAGCATCCCCACAGTTTGGGTGTCCCAAGCATCCAGCTGGGGTTCATTCTGGTGCCTGCAGTACTAATTTTAACTTGTATGCAAAAGAAGCATCATAATAAAACCAAATCTTCCACGTAAAGTCATAGGCAACAGTAACAGCAGTGCAGCCCCAGCCAAGTCATGACACACGGAAATGAATGGGGCCTACTGTTTGAAATGTGCAGGCGTCACCCTCCTTGCCTGAGTTTGGATAATTACAGTGCCTTTTCAGGGATTTCGTAGCTGCATTTTGTCTCTGGCTGGCTTATAAGCCTTTCAAGGGTAGGAGCCATCAGTTCTGTTTCTTTCCAGCCTTCTTGTCCTCCCTCCCCTGGTATTTTTTATCGTGGCTGCTAGAATTTATCTATTAATACTTGTACACATGCTTGGTCCAGGGAAGGTACTAGAAATTGGGACGAGCAAGTCATGGAGCTCTATGGCCAAGGCGGGCAGAGTGCACCTGAGCCAGTGTCTTCCTGCCATGGCCAAGGCAGGTGGAGCGCACCTGAGCCAGCGTCTTCCTGCCATGGCCAAGGTGGGCGGAGTGCACCTGAGCCAGTGTCATGCTGCCATGCCCAAGGTGAGTGGAGTGCACCTGATCCAGTGTCTTCCTGCTGTGTCCTCTTGAGTGGCCATTTCTGGCCTGAGTTTTGAGGCAAGGGAAATAGTTTGGTCTTCTGCCAATTGCCACCTGGCCGTAGCCCCATTTCCTGTGATAGCAGGCAGTATTGAGGGTCAGCATCTCCCCTGACCAGTTATCAAGCAAGCATTTTGGCAAACTTCTCCAGGAAGGGCTTCAGGAGGGTCAGCCCAGTCCAAGCTACTGTATTTGGGTTGTTCTCGTCCAGGCTCCAGATGGTGAGTCAGGACTCCTTTTCTGCCTTCCCCAAATCTACTTCACAAACAATTCCCTCAGGACTAACAATTATGGAGCAGCTTGTGGTGTCAGCGTTACTCTCTAGTTTATCAAGAAAGGATAGAGTGGACTCTGCAGGGAGGCATTCCTGTTTGCAGTAAGCAGATGGACCAGGAGTTGAAATTCCCTCCCTCCCTGGGTGCTCATTAGTGTGTTAAAAGCACTGCTGATAAATCACACTGTGACACTCCCCATAACTGCTGGTAGAAGCAGCGCCTCTGTAAAAATGTACTGTAACTGAAAATCTCCAGGCTGGCTGCTCAGGGGTCTGATTGAGCTTTTGTTAAAGTGAATATGGAGCCCACTGACTTAGCCAGTCCCAGCACCTCCCAGCACCAGCCTCACATTCTCTCAGAGAGCTTGAATTCCATGTCTAAGCCCAGGTTGAAGGCACTGGGGATTGGATGCCCATCCTCTCATCTGGAATCGCTCAGCCTGGGATCTAGAAAGCCGTGTTTTGCGTTTTCATCCATGGTGCCTTCTCATTCTTATAAAATCCTGCTTAACAGAGGTGGGCGTTGTGAGGAGACCCTTCCCTGGCCAAGGGCAACAGCCACCACCCCCCTGAAGGCAGAAGAGCCCTTGGCAGTTACCCAGCACATTGCTTGGTCTTCTCAAAGGATGTGTGTCTGCTCCTTTTATTCCCCCTACCCCCACCTGTAGACTGGTATAGAGAGAGCCAGTTCAAGGGCACAGCCAAAACTGTCTTTTATTATTATTGTTATTTATTTATTTATTTTTGATAGAGGGTCTCACTCCGTTACCCAGGCTGGAGCGCAGTGGTGTAGTCACAGTTCACTGCAGCCCCATTCTCCTGGGCTTAGGTCATTCTCCCACCTCAGCCTCCTAAATAGCGGGATTATAGGCACATGTCACCACACCTAGCTAATTTTTGTATTTTTTATAGAGATGAGATTTCGTCATGATAGGACCAGGCAGTTTGAGACTCCTGGGCTCCAGCAGTCCGCCTGCCTCGGCCTCTCAAAGTGCTGGGATTATAGACATGAGCCACTGTGCCCAGCCCAAAGCTCATTCTAATGTGAAACAACTTAGGTTACCAGCCAGTTGCAGTTGGTCATGGATTCAGTCTCACATTACCTGCCTGACTCTGATTTACAGCACTAAAGAATCTCTTCCAAATAGGCCCTTGTTTGCTCTCCTTTCTGATCAGCAAGCCATCTCCCAGATCTGATTTCTGGACCCCAATTTCCTTTCCTGTAACTTCCTTTCTACCCCACCAATGCAAACCCATAGGTGTTTCCTCTGACCTCTGTTACTGTCTTGAGCAATAGCCACCTTTCCTATTGAGACATCAGAGTCCACAGCCTGGTGAAGCTGCAGTTGAACCACAAGCGCACTGGGCTGATTCTCCTCCATTCAGACAGCTCTCATAATAGTGCTTGGGAGGATGAAAGGAGAAGTCACATAGTAACTTCCTGGTAAAGTGCTGTTACCAAGCTGACATTCAAAAAGTGGAAGATGGCCAGATGCTGTGGGTCATGCCTGTACAATCCCAGCGCTTTGTGGGGCCGAGGTGAGTGGATCACTTGAGGCCAGAAATTTGAGACCAGCCTTGCCAACAGGCTTTACTGAAAATTAAAAAATATAAAAATATAAAATCTAGCTGGGTGTGAAGTATGCACATGCGTATAATCCCAGCTACTCAGGAGGCTGAGACATGAGAATTGCTTGAACCAGGGAGGCAGAGGTTGCAGTGAGCCAAGATTACACCATTGCATTCCAGCCTGGGCAACAGAGCGAGACTCTGTCTGAAAAAAAAAAACAACCAATTTCTTCAATGTACATTCACTTGAGCATCTCCTGTGTCTCAGACCCAGAATTCAGTGCTTTGGCTTGGTAAACATGGCCCCATCTTCATATGTTCTAATAGTCAGGTGAAGCAAAATAGACACATAAGCAAATAAATGTAATGAAGTGAGTTAGCTGTTAGGATAGAGGCCTGTGGACTCCACGTAGAGTATGGCAAAGGCGCAATGGAAGAAAGGCTTTCTGGAGATGTTAAACGGGATCTGAGAGATGCGTGTGTACTGACCCAAGTTCCATCTAGGAAAGGCACTCTACGAGAGAACAGTGGAGGCACAGAGCATTGAGCTTGCAGAATCATGGGATCCTCAAGGAGCTCAGTTGGGTTGAAGCACTGGGAGGCCAGGACTTAGCAGGATGAGGCTGGGGAAAGAGGATAGAGCATCGGGGAAGCCCGGCCAGGCGCAGTGGATGAGGCCGGGGACAGAGGATGGAGCGTCTGGGAAGCCTGGCCTGGCCGGGCGCAATAGCTCATGCCTGTAATCCCAGTACTTTGGGAGGCCGAGGCAGGTGGATCACGAGGTCAAGAGATCAAGACCATCCTGCCCAACATGGTGAAACCCTATCTCTACTAAAAATACAAAAATTAGCCAGTATGGTGGTGGGCACCTGTAATCCCAGCTATTCAGGAGGCTGAGACAGGAGAATCGCTTGAACTTGGGAGGCAGAGGTTACAGTGAGCCGAGATTGTGCCACTGCACTCCAAAGTGAAACTTTGTCTCAAAGAGAGAGAATAAGCCTAATTTGTCACTTCTTTTTTATCCACAGCTCCTTCATTCCCAAATTCATCACCCACCTCTTCAAGTGCAAGCCGATTAGCATGGTGGGAGCAGAACAGGTGAGATGGATTTGGTGTCGGCATTTGCTGAACAGCTTTTGTTGAAGATCAAACACGTATCTGTCTAGGACAGATCTCCTTGGGAGGAATGATGATTCCCCTGTCTGGGGACAGTATGATGACTGACCTGGAAGGTTTCTTAATTATTCTTCCGTTTATTTTTAAAAATTGTGTTTGAATGCCTACTAAGGTCTGGGTGCAAGGTATAACACAACAAGCACCACAGAAAGGTCCCTGCTTTCTAGTGCTCACACTCCAGTAAGTAAAGGTGGCTGGGCATGGGGGCAGCTCACGCTGTAACCCCAGTACTTCAGGAGGCTGAGGTGGGCAGATCACCTGAGGTCAGGAATTCCAGACCAGCCTGGCCAACGTGATAAAACCCCATTTCTATTAAACATACAAAAATTAGCCAGGCGTGGTTTGGAGGCCAAGGCAGGTCCATCGCTTGAGGTTGGGAGTTTGAGAGCAGCCTGGCCAACATGGTGAAATCCCGTCTCTATTAAAAATACAAAAATTAGCCAGGCATGATGGTACATGCCTATAGTCCCAGCTACTCAGGAGGCTGAGACAGAATTGCTTGAACCTGGGAGGCAGAGGTTGTGGTGAGCTGAGATCGTGACACTGCACTCTAGCCTGGACAACTAAGTAAGACTCCATCTTAAAAAAAAAAAAAAAGTAAAGTAAATAAATAAATATCAGTGACAGGAGGCTGAGATGAGGGAGGATCATTTGAGGCCACGAGTTCAAGACCAGCCTGGGCAACATAGTGAAACCCTTATCTCAAAAAAATAAAATATTAGCTAGGCACAGTAATAGTACACTCTTAAAATCCTAGCTGCTCAGGAGGCTGAGGTTGGAGGATTCTTTGAACCTAGGAGGTGGAGGTTACAGTGAGCTGTGATTGTGCCACTGCACTGAAGCCTGAATGACAGAGGAAGACTCTTATCTCCCCTGCAAAAAAAAGAATATTTTAATAACGATAATAAACTCAGACCTAAAGCCAATATCTTCAGAAAAATATCAATTCATTCAGTGTTTACTTCCATCATTTTTTTTTTAACAAACCACAGATCATATGTTTACTTCCATTTTGAGGTGTGGATGAAAAAACCATCTGCAGGAACTGAAGTTTACTTAGTCAGACCCCAGGCCAGTACAAGTGGGCAGTCGGGGAGTGTGGATCTTGACAGGCCCAGACTGGGGAGGTCATGGGTGGGAACTGCAGGGCAGTGTGTCCCCTGTGGGATTCTCACATGAGTGCAGGTTTAGCCCGGCCTGTTTGCCCTGATGTCTGGGCCTTAAAGCTGTGGGCACGTTCACTTAGGCAGCAGAACCGTCAGAGTCCAGTTAACTCAGCAGTGTTCACAGACGGAAACAGACACGGCCTTGAGTCACGGAGCAGCTGCCATCCGAACTGGAACAAGAGCCGGGCATTGGAAGCTAAGGTTCCGCCCAACCTCAGCCGTGTCTGCCTTGCTGCCAGGGTGCTATATCCTAAATTTAGGTTGTGCTTTAATATGGGACAGGAAATGTTTTCTGCTCTTTATTCTCTTCTGAGTACTGTATAAAGTGAGTTATTTATCTTTGGGCCCCAGAGTCCTCTTGAGCAATTGCAAGGGCATGAGGAACTGACCCTTGCCGATATTTATAATGCTTCTTGCTAGTCTGTGATTCTCACATAATCTTGTGGGATTCGCAGGGTCATTAATTAGTCTTACAGCTGTGGTCACCTATGAAAGCTTTTTTCTCCCTTGAGATGAGGGATAAGACAAGAATGTCCATCGTCACTGTTTCTATCCCATGTTGTCGTTGAAGTCCTGGCTAGGACAACAAGGCAAAAAATAAAATATTTTTAAAAGAAACAAAATATATACAGATTAGAAAGGAGAAAACTAAACTCATTTTTCATGGCAAATGTAATTGTGATAAATCCAAAAGAATCTACCGATAAACTATTGGAATATAAATTTAGCAGGGTTGCTGGCTATAAGGTCAGTATTTTAAAATATATTTCGTTTCTTTTCTTTTCTTTTTTGAGATGGAGTTTTGCTCTGTCATCAGACTGGAGTTCAGTGGCGCGATCTCGGCTCACTGCAACCTCCACCTCCTGGGTTCAAGTGATTCTCCTGCCTCAGTCTCCCAAGTAGCTGGGACTACAGGCATCCGCCACCACGCCTGGCTAATTTTTTTGTCTTTTACTAGAGATGGCGTTTCACCATGTTGGCCAGGATGGTCTCAATCTCCTGACCTCGTGATCCACTTACCTTGGTCTCCTGAAGTGCTGGGATTACAGGCTTGAGCCACCGCGCTGGCCTAAACTACATTTTTGTATACCAGCAGCAAACAATTTAAAAATGAACCTCTTGAATGAAATACTTGTTTGTTTTTTTGCTCTGTTGCCCAGGCTGGAGTGAGTATAACTGTGAACACAATCATAGTTCACTGCAGTCTTAACTCCTGGGCTCAAGCAGTCCTCCTGCCTCAAATTCCCAAGTAGCTGGGACTACAGGAATGTACTACTATGCCAGGCTTATTTTTTTCCCTGTAGATGTAGTTTCTCTCTCCCTGTGTCACCCAGGCTTATCTCAAACTTCTAGCCTTAGGCAATCCACCCTCCTAAGCCTCCCCAAATCCTGCTTACAGGCATGAGCCATGGCTCCCAGCCTTAAATGACATCATTTACAGTAGCATCAGGAAACTAAATATCTGGGAATAAATCTGTCAAAAATGTACAAGTCTTCTATACAGAAAACTGTACAATATTAAGACACAGAATCCGAAAAGACCTTTAAAATGACAGGATAGCTCATGTTCATTGATACGAAAGACTCATAAAGAAATAAATGTGGAGTCTTCTGAGCCTACTTTGGCTGAGGAGGCTGCCCAATAAGAAATAAATAAAAATTTTTAAAGTGGTAAATTTTCCAAAATTAATCTATAGATACAATTCAATCCTAATTACTGTATCTATTAATCTATAGATACAGTTGAATCCCAGCAGGGGTGTGTGTGTGTATGTTTGTGTGAGAATTGATAAGCTGATTTTAAAAGTTAGATGAAAATACAGAAAACAACAGCTAAAATAATCTTAAACAATAGAACTGGAGGAGGTAAAGCTCAGGATATCAAGACTTGTTGTAATAGTATTGTAATTAGAGCGGTGCGGCACTGGCCCCAGGGACAGATAGGCTGACAGAACAGATTTGAGTTCAGAAATAGACCCGCACATGTGTAGACATTTGATTTATGACAAAAGTGGCATAATTCAGTTTGGGAAAGAGAGTCTTTTCAGTAAATATTGCTGGATAATTGGATATCCATATTGGAAAAAAAAAAAAAATCTTGACCTTTACCACACATCATGTATACAAATCAATTCCAAAGAGGATTTGGTGAAAGGAGGACATGTGTACATTGCTGGTGGTAATGCAAAAGTGGTGCAGCCATTTAGGAAAAGAGTTTGGCATTTACATAGTTACCACATGCCCCAGCAATTATACTCCTAGATACATACCCGAAAGAGTTGAAAAAGGCTGGGCGCAGTGAGTGGCTCACACCTGTAATCCCAGCACTTTTGGAGGCTGAGGCGGTCAGATCACCTGAGATCAGGAGTTCAAGACCAGCCTGGCTAAGATGGTGAAACCCTGTTTCTACTAAAAGTACAAAAATTAGCCTGTAGTCCTAGCTACTTGGTGGCGTGTGCCTGTAATCCCAACTACCTGGGAGGCTGAGGCAGGAGCATCACTTGAACCTGGGAGGCAGAGGTTGCAGTGAGTGAGATTGCACCACTGTACTCCAGGTTGGGTGACAGAGTGAGACTGTCTCAAAGAAAAAAAAAGAATTGAAAAAAATGTGTTCACCCAAAAATTTGTACACAAATGTTCACAGCAGCACTATTCATAATAGCCAGAAAGTAGAAACAACTGAAATGTCCATCAGCTGATGAACAGATAAACAAAATGTGGTCTATCCATACAACGGACTATTATTCAGCCATTAAAAGGAATAAAATACTCATTCATGCTACAACGTGGATGAACCTTGAAACCATGTTAAGTGCAAGAAGCCAGACACGAAAAGCCACATGTTATGTGACTTGACTTTTATGAAATGTCCAGAAAATACATTCATAAAACAAAGTAGATTAATGGTTGGCAAAGGGTGAGTGGGGTGGGGGAAATGGGTAAGCGTTTCTTTATGGGGTGGTGATGTTGTCTGGGACCAGGTAATGCTGACAGCTGCACAACCTTGTGAATATACTTTAAAAACCAGTGAATTCTACACTTCGAAAAGGTAAATTTTATGGTTTTTGAATTATATTTCAATTTTAGAAAATTAATTCCAGGTGGATTATGGCTCTAAAAAATAAGACAGTAGGGCCGGGCATGGTGGCTCATGCCTGTAATCCCAGCACTTCGGGAGGCCGAGGCGGGTGGATCACAAGGTCAAGAGATTGAGACCATCCAGGTCAACATGGTGAAACCCCGTCTCTACTAAAAATACAAAAAATTAGCTAGGCATGGTGGTGCGTGCCTGTAATCCCAGCTACTTAGGAGGCTGAGGCAGGAGAATTGCCTGAGCCCAGGAGGCGGAGGTTGCGGTGAGCCGAGATGGCGCCATTGCACTCCAGCCTGGGTAACAAGAGTGAAACTCCGTCTCAAAAAAAAATAATAATAATAAGACAGTAAAGCTTCTGGAAGATAATATAGAGAATATGACCCTGGGTGAGGCAGAGGTACCATAAACAAAACATTAAAAGCACTAACCATAAAAGAAAGGATTGGTTATTTAGAGTACTTAAAATACCTTGGCCAAGTGAGGTAGCTTGTGCCTGTAATCCCAAGACTTTGGGAGGCTATGACAGGAAGATTGTTTGAACCTAGCAGTTTGAGATCAGCCTGGGCAACACAGCGAGACCCCATCTCTACAAAATAATTTAAAAATTAGCCAGGTATGGTGGCACATGCCTGTAGTCCTAGCTACTTGGGACACAGGAGGATCAGTTAAGCCCAGGAATTTGAGGGTTCAGTGAGCTCTGATTGTACCACTGCACTCCAGCCCAGGCGACAGAGTAAGACCCTGTTTCTAAAAATAATAATAATTTTAAAAGAGTGATGATACCAAGTGCTGGTAAGGATGTGGAGCATTGGAACTTTCATAGGTGCTGGTAGAAATGGAAGTTAGCATAGCCCCATGGGAAAACTCCTAGGCAGTTGGCCAGACAATCCCTGCCCAGCGATTCAGCAGTCCTCTTGAGTAGCTTCCATCCCAGAGAAACGAGGACCTTTTGACCACCAGACATGTGGACAAATGTTCGCAGCAGGTTATGAGCAGGAAAGTAAGCTTCAGTGATGGAGAGCAGGAGAGTGGTTGCCTTTGCTTGGAGGGAAAGGAGTACATTGACTGGACGAGAGGTGAGGGAGACTTCAGGGGTGCCAGAGATGCCCTCTGTCTTCCGTTAGGCACCACGTCTGGATGTGGCCCAGCTGCACACGTGGCACTTGTGTACTTATGAAAGTCATGCCGAAATTTTCGAAAGAAGCAGAACATGTCCCCACCTTGGTCCACCCTCCTCATACCCTGAGCTGTCTGCTTGGTGCCACCTCACTGAAGAACTTTATACTGTTGGGTCAGTATGGTTCAGTATATGATTTTGTTCACATGGTTGTCTTCTAGGGCCTATATCTAATTTATTCAGAAGTTTCATCACTACTGATAGTCATCATGTCCCCAAGAATTGTGGGAGGCTCTTTAGGAAATAAAGGGCCCCTCAGAGATTTCCATTGCTGAGTGACAAGCGTTCACAGGCATAGCATACTGGCTGTGCTGGCACCCCCATTCCTTCAACTACCTTAGCCAGCCCACACCCTCCAGAAATTATCACTGAGGCAGAAACGAAGTTGGCAATAGTCACTTCTTGCCCAATGTCTCATGCCTAGGAAGATGAATTACCAACTGTTTCAAAGATGAGAACTAGCAGATCTTCGTGATACATGGGACCTTTCTACCTTCACTTCCCACAGACAGCTGCCAAATCTGTCAGATGCATTCCTGCCTTTTCAGACCGCATGGCTTGCTGTAAAACCTGAGATCCAGGTTTTCACCTCTCAGCTGTCTGGTAAAGACAGAATTTTATGGTGTCTGGCCAGGGAATGCAAGAGTGGTATCTCCCTGTATGTGAGGGACCCTAGAGAATTAGATCTGATTCATTCAAACCTCTCCTGTCACTTCAGATTATACAATTATTTATGCATATAACATATCTCTGGGAAGTAGAAAAAGTAGGAAATAACTCCATATGCTTTAAAATATAATGACTGATTTTCTTTTTCCTACCAGCAAATGAATGCTAAGACATGGCTTTGATTTTGACAAGGCTCTCAAAATCTGTTACATGGAAGACAGAGTTGAGTCCTTGTCAGGCCTCAAATGGTATTCTTTAAACAAAAATTCCAGTTAATCAATGTACAGAAAATAATGTATAGAACACTAACTAGCTAACCACTTAGCTCAGCAAAATATGTAACATGTTTACATCTTTGCTATACATCTTTTTTTTTTTTAAGACGGTGTCTCACTCTATTGCCCATTCTGGAGCACAATGGCACGATCAGGGCTCACTGCAACCTCCACTTCCTGGGTTGAAGCGATTCTTGTGCCTCAGCCTCCCAAGTAGCTGGGATTACAGGTGTGCAGCACCACGCCTGGCTAATTTTTGTATTTTTAGTAGAGATGGGGATCTCACCATGTTAGCCAGGCTGGTCTCTCCACCCACCTCAGCCTCCCAAAGTGTTGGGATTATAGGCGTGAGCTACCGTGCCCGGTCTGTATTTTCTTAAAGTTTTTCTTTTTATATCGAAGAGTTTAATCCACCTGGAATCAAGCATGTGTATTTTTTTTTTTTTTTTTTTTTTTTTGAGATAGAGTCTCGAAAAAAGTGTAGTGTGCTGTAGCCAGACTGTAGTGCAGTAGTGTGATCTGGGCTCATTGCAGTCTGTACCTCCTGGGTTCAAGCAATTTTCCTGCCTCAGCCTCCCTAGTATCTGGGACTGCAGGGTGTGCACCACCACACCCAGCTAATTTTTTGTATTTTTAGTAGACACAGGGTTTTGCCATGTTGGCCAGGATGGTCTCGGTCTCCTGAACTCGTGATCTGCCTGCCTCGGCCTCCCAAAGTTCTGGGATGACAGGCGTGAGCTACCGCGCCTGACCGACCATGTGTGTTCTTGAGGGGCTCATGCTGGGTTCCTCCAAGGAAGAGCAGTAGTCATTTCCACCGGAGCTCCGGGAAGTGTGCCAGTGCCGGGCTGTTCCTGCAGGCCTTGGGCAGCCTGTGCCATTCCCCCTCCAGGAGGCTTGTGTACCCTTTCCTCTGAGCAGAGAGGAAGAATATTCACTTCTGGAAATCTAGAAAGGTACAGAATGCCCTGGCATTTTACTGGCTACAGTAGAGCGAGCTTCAGGCATAGGCCTTTTACTAGCTACAGAACCACAGGAAACTACTCTGACCTTAGCGTCATTTCTTACATCTGAATTATTCCAAATAAAACACTGACGTCTCCCCACATGCTACTACTGTTGTCAAAATTATGATCGCCATAACCCTTAAGTTAATAGTGTCTCTCCTTATGTAGTTAATCTCTAGTCATTAATTCTTCTGTCCAAAGCAAAGTAAGTGGGAAATTAGAGGATGCAAAGTGTGGCTGGGCCTGAAGGGATCCCATTTCTCACCTGCTTGATGGAATTACAGAAGGCTTTCCAAAGGAAGCAGGCAGTGGCAGATGGAGCAGGCCTTGTCCTGAACAAAAGTCTGACTATCATCAACCAAGTCTAGTGGGGGCATTGGGGGATGTTGCTCCACTCCTGCCCTTGTCTGTGTGGTGGCCATGTGGTTCCACTCTCCAAGCCATCTCAGCAGGCCAGAGTATACCCGTCTGGCTTCAGCCATTTTTCTGCTCCCTGGTTGCCAAGAGCAGTGGCAGCAGGAGCCGGTGTGAGCCCTACGCCAAAACCACCCAGGGACATTGACCTGGGCAGTCGGAAATGGGACTCCAGCTTCCTGGCCACCTTTTGTCTAAACCCATCCCATTGCATGAGATGAGTTGAGCGGGCTGGTAAGCTTTTTCTAGAACTTTTTCTCATCTGTCCAATGGGAACGATAAACAATCCCCAGAGCAAACGGGCCTTATGCAGACGGAATGTGACAGACCTTCCTCAGGTCATTCCCCGCAGGCGCTGGGCCATCAGGACTACAGGTGTCCTAGATGATTGGCATCCCAGAGAACCAGAACAAACAAAGAGGAAAAGGTAGATTGTTGCCAAGATACAGTGTTTACATTTGGGTAAATCCACATCCTCACTAAATCCAGATGAATTAAAAACAACAGTAATGAGTTAACTGATTTTTGCCTAATGGAAAGCAGGATTTTAGGAGTTTTCAGTGCCAATAAAGGTGCAGTCTGCGCTGCTGGTAGAGGTGTACATGGGTCCATTCCGTTGGAAAGATCCTGATGTTTGCATGGCCCCACATCACAGAGTATTGCAGGGACTTTAAAAGTCACGGTGCTGCTGCTTTAGAGGATGGCGTCTCACCATGTGGCCCACGTTGGAGTGCAGCTAAAAATCATGACCGCAGAGATGGGAAAACACAATACAAAAATTTTACATAGTAAGTGAGAAGACCAGGTTATAAAATTATGTATACAGGGCGTGGTGGCTCACGCCTGTAATCCACTTTGGAGGCCAAGGTGAGCGGATCACCTATAAAATTATGTATACATACAGTATATTTCTGACTTCGTTTCATGGCAGTGGTTGTGGTTTGTTTTTGAGACAGGGTCTCACTCTGTCACCCAGGCTGGACAGTGCCGTGGCATGATGTTGACTCACTGCAGCCTCAGCCTCCCAGACTTAAGTGACCCTCCCACCTCAGTCCGCCCCAGTAGCTGAGACCCCAGGTGTGCACCACCATGCCTGGCTGATTTTTGTGTTTTTCCATGTTGCCCAGGGTGACCTCAAACCCCTGAGCCCTACAGAGCCTGCTGCCTGGGCCTCCTAAAGTGCTGGGAGCACAGGCGTGAGCCGCTGCTCCTGGCCCACAGGTTATTATATGTATTTTTTACTTACATACACATAAGCTGGCTTCTCGATGTTCTTAGTAGGTGATGGGAATTATATATAACTTTTTTCTTTTATATTTCTGTTTATTTCCCAAGTTTTTCTGCAACAAGAATGTATTATGTGCATAATCAAAAAAATGTTACTCCTGGGCGTGGGTCCGCTCAGTGCTGGGAGGCTAGAAGGGGCCGGTCACACTCTGCCTTGCTCCACAGCTGCTGCTGGACACCCACTCCCTGAAGATGGTCCTGCTTGATCTCCCCTCCATCGGATCACAGGTGGTGAGGAAGGCGCCCGCCAGCTACACTAAGATTGTTGTCAAAGGCATGACCCGGGCGGAGATGATCCTCAAGGTGACAGCTTGTGCCTTTCTCGGGGATTCTGTGTAAAGGGGTCCGTTGTTTATTTCATCTCTGTTTCCAAGAAGCTTTGGTTTTGAAGGCACAGGGTAGGTCCTGTCGCCAGCGCTCTCAAAGCAGGTCCACATTCTTGGGCTGGACTGAATTTTTTGCCTCATCAGATGTTGTTGAAAGTCTGTGGGTAGTTATTGGGGGTCAGTAATTCCTCCTGACAAATGAATTTTTTTGTTGTCGTCATGGGATTCTCTTGTAATCGGATGTTGCAAAGCTTGGACGTTCAGTGGAGTTGTCGCTGTGAGTCAGTCAGGTCAGGTATCTCTGCTGCTCAGCAGGAATTCCAGGCCCAGGTCTCAGTTACTCCCTTCCGCATCAGCCTTCTTGGCTTTCTGTGCTCTGTCTCCACTTTACATGAACTCTGAACAGATGTTGTAGTAACTGAATCTCATTGGCAAATGGATTTTTTAAAGCCCCATTTAACAAAGGATTGTACTTCGGGTGATGAAGGTCTGAACCCTAAGCATCTGCCTCTGATTTCTACCATTTGGGAGAACGGGGATGAGGGCTGGAGAAGAAATAATCCTGTCGTGATGTGTCTGAAAAGCCCAGGGCCTCTAAGCTCTTCAGGCCGTTCCTATCCCAGATGACTCAGAGACGGCAGGAGTAGGAAGCAGCAGCAGGGCCTCAGACACCTGGGATGGGTGAAGACCCTGCCTGAACCTGGAGCTGTGGCCTGAGGACATCAGAAGCAGCCTGTTCATTTCCCTCTGCTGCTGGTTACTGGCTGTGGAGGAGAGCGTGCAGTCCGGGAGTTATCTGCAGAGGATTCCTGAGTGAACCACTTGCCATGCTTTGGGGCAGTCTGGGGAATGCAGGAAGAAAGTCAGATACTGCATTCCAGAGCCAAATAGAAACCAATGTGAGGATTGCCGTGCCCTTCCTTTCCTTTGTGTGTTAACTGATACTTTCAGTTAGTAGTTACACGAAGTCCGCGTTTTAAGTCTTCAGAAAAGTGAGGCAGCTTTGGCATTTTTATTTTTGTAGAAATCCACTAACACCAGTGCCTTTTGCCACCCATTTCTCAGAAATAATAGTATGTTGGGGCAGAAGGAGTGGGTACCGTGTACATAGGAAACGTCTAACAGGAGACCCTCTTATACAGTGTTTCCCAAAGGGTCCCAATGTTTTGACAGTCACCTGGGACCCCACCAGGGCTGCTGAAATAGACTATTTAGAGGAAGGGCTCAGGAACCCGTGCTTTACAAAGCCGTGCAGGTGATATTTGGGATTCAGCAAATTGAGGGCACGCTGCTTTAGTTGAATGTGAAGATGAGATGGGGCATGAAGATGAAAAAGAGACCTCGCAGGATGCATTTTGCGCTCAGCAGGCAGTGAGGGAGAGCCCTGCGCTGCTGTGAGTTTTCCTCACGGCCTGCCCATCCCCTCCTGGCAGGTGGTGATGGCCCCTCATGAACCGCTGGTGGTGTTCGTTGACAACTACATCAAACTCCTCACAGACTGCAACACAGAAACCTTCCAGAAGATCCTGGACATGAAGGTGAGTGCAGGCTCCAGATTTGTCCACACTTGCCATCCTCCTCACACTTGGTTCTTAACTGGGGGTTTTCTCAAAATGCTTTTCCTGGCTCCGGGGAGCTAACCGGGTTGGGAGAAGCCTTTGGAGGAGGTGGTTGTGGGCGTGTGCTCTCAAGGATTGATAGGCCCCTGCGCAGGGGCGGAGGGCAGAGGATGAGGACAGGAGGGTTTCCTCCCCCATCTCCTGAACCTGCCCTTCTCTCTCAGCCCCTTCTTTCTCTTCCATGGCCCTTTCTTCCCCTCTGTTTTCCTCCCAGGCTACTACTCAGGCCTGGCGATTAATTTTCTGAGGAAAGCGTCATCCTCAGCCTGGAGTGACTCTGCTGTCTGCAGTCTCTGCTGACCCAGTGCTATGCTCTCCCCATGGGCCATTCTGGCCCAGCCTTCCTGACAGTTCTCCTTCTCTCTCAACCCCAGGGGCTGAAGAGGAGCGAGCAGAGCAGCATGCTGGAACTCCTGCGCCAGCGGCTCCCTGTGCCGCCCTCGGGGGTGGAAAGCGCCGGCTCCCTGTCCTTGATGGCTCCAACGCCAGAGCAGGAGTCGTCTCGCATCCGCAAACTTGAGAAACTCATTAAAAAGAGACTGTAGCAGCAGCAACGGGCACTTTGCTCCTGGCCAGCCCCTTAGCACCCTGTTCCCCGGAAGCCCCTGATGTCTCCTGTCCTCCCCGGGACACTCATCATCAGTTTCCAGGCTTTCTGGGACATCTGGGTTGTTACTGAGTCTCTCCCATGCCCGTTCTTACTTCCTGCCCTCATCAGACATGCTGAGTAAGGGCTGGGTTCTGAGAAGGCCATTTAGATGATCTCTGGTTCCTGAAGCAGAGGCAGCAGCAGGGGAAGGTCCCTGGGGTTCACTTGCCATCCCTGAGCTGCCCCTGACTAGCAGAATTGCTGTTGACTCATGTAGCCTCAGCAGGACTGTCATACCCTCTGACTCTGGGTCCACCGTGTACCTCCCCATCCGGGCAACTTGAATGAGGAAGCCTGGATCTCACCCCTCCCTCCTTCCTTCCCTCCCTCCCTCCCTCCCTCCTCGCCTCCTCCTCTCCCTCCCTCCCTCCCTCCTCGCCTCCTCCTCTCCCTCCCTCCATCCCTCCTCGCCTCCTCCTCTCCCTCTCCCTCCTTCCCCCTCTCCTCTTCTCCCTCCCTCCCCCATCCTCCTCTCCCTTCCTCCTCCTCCTCTCCCTCCCTCCCCCCTCCTCTCCCTCCCTTCCCCTCTCCTCTCCTTCTCTTCCTTCCTCCCTCCCGCCTTCCCTCCTTCCGTGGCTGTTTAAGGTTTCCCCTTAAGCCAGAGCTCAGTTTCCTTTCCTATCTCTGGGTTTGTCCCTACAGCCAGAGTGGCAGATTACAGGTTCTTTACGGAGGCAGTGGAAGCAGGTATATTCCCACGGAAATCCCAGTTTCCTGGCCCATATTTTGTTTCTGGTACTTGTTATGACCTTCCTTGACTAAGTTATCCCTGTGTTCCCCCATTTCTCAGTCATCTCCAAAGGAGAAGTGTCCTCTGTCACTGGGAAGGTCGCATGTGCCAGGCCTTCAAGCAGGTGTCCTATCTGCCCTGGGGCTCCTGACCAGGGTGTGGGCAGACCCAGATCTGACAGAAGGCTCTTGTCTGGCACACTCGCCAGGTTGTGCGAGCAGATTCTTCTCCATTTCTTTGTTTTTTTGTTAAATTGAGATGTAGTCTTACTCTGTCACCCAGTCTGGAGTGCAGTGGTGTGATCTCAGCTCACTGCAACCTCTGCCTCCCTGGGTTCAAGTGATTCTCCTGCCTCAGGCTCCCGAGTCGCTGGGACTACAGGCACTCGCCACCGCACCTGGCTAATTTTTTGTATTTTTAGTAGGGATGGGGTTTTACCACGTTGGCCAGGCTGGTATTGAACTCCTGGCCTCAAGCAGTCCACCCTTCTCAGGCTCCCAAAGTGCTGGGATTACAGGTGTGAGCCACCGCACCCGCGCTTTTCCTTCATTTCTTTACTCCCACTCTGCTCCTGGTTTTTAAGGAAGGGAAACCAGGGAGTTTACTTGGAAAACGTTTCCTAGGTTTTCTCATCAGATGAAGCCGTGGGAACATCCAGGAAGCCCGTACCCTCGAGTCCCTTTCTGCCCGCTCATCTTCAGGTCCATAGTACTTTCCAGTGTCGTCTGAAATAGCAAGGGTAGTGTGCAGTGTCCCAGTGACCTGTTCCTGTATGATGAGAAGGAGCCGGGGGCTCAGGATGCCTCAGGAACAGAATGTTGACCTTACACACCAGGCTGAGAGCCTGGCCTGGCCTGGAAGGCAGCTGCCCCTGCCTGCCTTTCCTGTCCCCCATGGGCTCTCTGTGGCCAGTGTTCTGGCCTCTGTCACCCTCCTGCATTTGGAGAGCAGGCAGCCCCTGATGCCCTCAGCTCCCCTAAAACCACGCATCAGTTAGCCATGACCACAGCTCAGGCAAACCGCTGTTGTTCTGTTTCTGTTCAAGAATGGTATCTTGCCAGGCACAGTGACTCGTACCTGTAGCCCCAACACTTTGGGAGGCCAAGGCAGGAGGATCGCTTGAGCTGGGGAGTTCAAGACCAGCCTGGGCAACATAGAGACGTCTACAAAAATAAAAATTTGCAAGGCATGGTCGCATGCACCTGTAGTCTCAACTGCTTGGGAGGCTGAGTTGGGCAGAGCTTGAGCTCAGGAGTTTGAGACCAGTCTGGGCAACATGTTGAAACAAAAAATACAGAAAATCGGCCAGGCACAGTGGCCCACGCCTGGAATCCCAGCACTTTGGGAGGTTGACGTGGGTGGATCACCTGAGGTCAGGAGTTCGAGACCAGCCTGGCCAACAGGGTGAAACCTCGTCTCTACTAAAAAGACAAAAATTATTTGGGTGTGGTGGCGCATACCTGTAATCCCAGCTACTTCGGAGGCTGAGGCGGGAGAATCGCTTGAATCTGGGAGGTGGAGGTTGCAGTAAGCCAAGATCACACCACTGCACTCCAGCCTGGGCAACAGAGACATGACCCTGTCTCAGAAAGTTTTCACGAGAGGGGATTTCCTAAGAATCCATAAAACTTGTAACAGCCATACAACAGGAAACCGGCCTGGAAACCTGATTTCCTCGTTCCCACCTTGGTTCCCAATATAACCACCTGCTTTGCGCCCTGCGTCTCTGCCGACCTTTCTCCTGACGCCGTCCAGCTCTGATCCTGAGCCTCATTTCTTCATTAGCTTCCAGGCTTCCCTGCTAGTCGGTATGACTTGTGCATCGAGTGTCTGAAATTGGAGAACAGGGAGAAGACAATGAGTGGTCAAGGAGGTGTGGCCTTTAGCTAAGGTCTATTAGGAAAAGATTCCAAAGAAGACAAGGGCGAGGAGGGGGTTAGGAGAGCCCCCGGAAGCCCAGTAGATGCCACCCAGCCCCTGGGGTTGCTCTGGTGAGGTTGTGCAGCCTGAGCTGTATAGTTGAAAAGGGTCGGTGAGCCCATCTCCAGATGGTACAGCTGGTTCAGCCGTCTGTCCTCGACCTGGGAGTGCTGGGAAGCCAGGGACTGCCGCAGCCGATTCTTGTCATTCCTATTGTGTGTTCACAGATCCCCATTCTTCTTTTTGGCTGGTTGGGGAGGAGTCGTTTTCCGGACAGACCGTCACAGCATTGAGATGTCAAGCTGCTGTGTTTCACCTTTGGTGGTCACAGGCAGAGAAGCTGCTTTCTTGATTTATGGCATTGTCAGTAATCCCCAGGGAGCCCACAGATGTTGGCAGGAGTTATGTTAAATGTCTCCTTGACAGGATGGAGGGCTGCGTTCCCTACTGGGGGTGTGCATCAGAACCACCCTTGGCCTTTAAAAAAGTACAAATGCGGCCAGGTGCGGTGGCTCATGCCTGTCATCCCAGCACTTTGGGAGACTGAGGCAGGCGGATCACGAGGTCAAGAGATCATGACCAGCCTGGCCAACCTGGTGAAACCCCATCTCTACTAAAAATACAAAAGTTAGCTGGGTGTGGTGGCGGGTGCCTGTAGTCCCAGCTGCTTCGGAGTCTGAGGCAGGAGAATCACCTGAACCTGGGAGGTGGAAGTGGCAGTGAGCTGAGATCATGCCATTCTACTCCAGCCTGGGTGACAGAGCAAGATTCCATCTCAAAAAATAGTAAATACTAATAATAAAGTAAAAGGAGCACCCCTGGATAAAAGCAGCAGCTGACAGCTCTGTGATTCAGCTAAGCCAAGATGTGCCCATTCCTTCCCCTCAGTCCCTGTTCTCTAGCCCCTTTAAGAAGGAAAAAACAAGTAACTTTGAAGTCACTTTGGTCATTTATATTATCAGTAAAGCATTCACTGTGCTCTTCTTGCAGAGACCTCTCTGATAACTGGGTGAGAGGTGCGCAGGCTAAAGAACATTCTGTGTGGACTGAGGAGCCGCAGTGGGCAAGGTGTTCCGATCTTCAAATCCAGCTCAGGATCAACGCTAACTACCGCCACTCCTTCCTCCAGAACAAAGAACCAGCACCCAGGACTCTGCCCACCCCGAGAAGGGTGCCTAGTTTCTCATGTCTAGGGTTGCTCCTTTCAGCAGACAAGCTAGCGGTTACAGGGCATGCGTAGCCATGGGGCAAGTCTGAGGCTACTGCCTGGAGCAGGGGACAGCACAATGAGACTTTCTGAACTGCCATCAGATGAGGAGACCTGGTTCCCTGTTTGTGGAAGGTCAGGGGAAATGCTGAAGAGCACTCGTAATAACCTGCCTGCTTGAGGGTGACAGCAAGTGTTTCACACTCTTGTCTACTCCAAGTCAGATTCCTAAAAATAAAATAGCCTTAGAAACATGGACACGTGAAACGCTGGCCTACATGAAGAGTACAGTTGCATTTTATCTGTTGAATAAGAATTCCCAGAATAGCCTCTTGGACCCTCAGAGTTCTACACCTTTGGGAGAGATAAATTTCCTTAAAATAAAGGGATTGCTTTTTTGTGTAAATAACTTTCATTTTCCCCATCTGGAAGTATTTCTCCCTGCGTGGTGGAGTACAGAAGGCTGCAGTTAATTAAAGCCTGACTGGATATCATTTGCTCGATGTATTTCCTTACTGCTGACAGAAAACAGAGCAGACTCTAAAAAAGAATTAGCAAGCCTGTGACCCTGGCCCCCAGCGGCTGCCCTTCTCCCTGGAGGATGTGCCCTTTCCTGGGCAGTCTCAGAGCAACGTGTGGGAGCCGAATGTGGCCGGCCCAGCCCGGGCTTGCCTGTCCAGTCATGGTGAAGCCCCTGAGACGTGTGTAGCATCTGCTGCTGACCTGGAACCCTTCTTGCACTGTGAATTTCTATCCTGTTACCGTTCCCTTCTTCATCCTTACCATTGCAACCACAGCCTGCTTTTCCAGTGACTGCCGAGCAATGTCTCTCCTGCACGTTGTCAGTCCTGTTTCCTTCATAGCTGGATGGGCGTTTTGAAGTGAATACTCTTTGGGAATTCCAAAGTTCCCTTCAGCAGTGGAAGATCTGCCGTGGCACTTCCATCACTCTGGCTTCAGGATCATTACCTTGTTTCTGTTACATTTTCAACAGCTCCCACTTTATTAGGGAAGCCAAGGGCTCCACCTAATGAGAAAGGAAACGCTCCCTGTAGTCCACCTGGAAAGGCGTTGCCTGCCAGCTCTTTCTCACCTGCATCAACAGGTGGGAAGAGGCTGGCAAGGTGTGGATCCATGGGATGTGAGGGCTGTGTCCATTTGCAGTGAAAGCAGCCTGGGATTGGAGGCATCTGCAGAAGACCTGATCTGCCTGTCTGGATCTGGACCGGCACCAAGGTGCTGGGCAGGCGTCAGTTCTCAATACTGGTAAAGGGGGTTTTCATGAACGTAGGCTGTGCAGGCCACACAAGACCAGGTTATATGCCCTTGCTCTGCAGGCCCTGGGCAGTGTGAAGTGTGTTCATGGACACTTGCAGGAGCCTGTGGCCACCCCGACTGGCCTGGCTGTGTTAAACATGGCTGAGTGGTGACATACTCTGGCCGTGTGCAGGCTGCTTCCGCAGCAGACTCAGCATATCTGGTCTTTGCTTTTTTAAGTCATGACTGTGATACTCAGCTTACATGAGAGTTTTAAAAGATGGAGCCGTATTCCCTTCCCCTGGCAGCTGCTGTTTCTGTAGCATTTCGGGATAAACCTGCAGATGCTGGAGAGAGCTTCCTCCCTCCTGGGGCTGGTGGCGAGGCTGCCTGTTGTGGAAAATAGGGCACGTTTCCTCTGAATGAAAACTAAGGGTTGCTGAAGGCTCCATTCCAGAAACCTGTATGTGTCCACAGGTCAGGCTCTTCTCCCGACAGGGATAAACATTCTTGCCTGCCTGCCTTTTCTTTTACTTATTCTTGCCTTTTTTTTTTTTTTTTTTTTTTTTTTTTTTTTTGCTGTGATGCCCAAAAAACTAAGCAAGATTCACCTGGGATGGGCAGTTATAACTGGGAAGCCTGAGCCTCACAGGCTGGTGGGGTTACTTTGCAATGTTTCAAAGGCGATTAGACATTTCCCAAGGCCAGCCAGTCCCTGTATTCTCTGGCTCTCTCAGTCCCCTTTGGGGTGTTGACTCAGAGGACCTGGGGCAATACGAGATGTTAGCCAGTGCCTCGCCCCTGGTAAACTTCCCACTTCATAGAGGCTCTGTGAGTGTCTGCTCAGCCGTCACATGGAATTTGCACGACAAACTTCCCTCTACCCCCATGGCCAAGAAAGGTATTTGCCTAGTGGGCTGCCGCGTTCAGGGGTCTTGAGTGAAATGGGGGCAAGAAATCCTCGCAGCTTCCACGTGTGTGCTTTGTGCTGATGGAAAATGAAGGCCCGTCTCGGCCACCAAAGAGACCACATTCCACAGGGTGCTTCGTGAAGTCAAGCACTGCATGGACTGACCAGAGCAGCCACTGAAGTGGCAGGCAAATGGGAAAAATCGGTCTGCTATGTAGAGAAGACATCAGTTTACTCACACAGAGTTCCCCCACAGCCTCATACCCGTGCCTGTCACAGTCTCACACTGCCCTTCAGGAGCTGGCTAGCTCAGAGGTTGAGGAGGTGCTGAAGGGAGGAAGGTCCCAGTCAGGGCAGCCTTGGGCCTTGGCTGCGCAGCCGGGCTGCCATCTGGCCCGCATATAGATAGCACCTTTGGTCACGAGAGAGTCTGGGTGATTGAGTGCTGTCTGTACATGTTGGTGGGGTGGGAAGGTAACTGTGCTGAGTACCTACTGTGTCCTGGATACGTTATGATGTCTCACCGGATCAAATCCCTGCTCAATTTAGTTCTGTTTAGTGGATGGGACTTGGAGGCTGAGGGTGGGGTGAGGGACGGGCCCAGGGAAATATGGCCGGTATGGGTGGGGCCAGCCAGAATTTGGCTCCAGCCTTCATCCCAGCATCCATGCCCTTGTACTTCACCAGTAGTTTTCAAATGTATGGGACAAATTTACACTGGTGTCCCACTATACAAAACAGATGGAAGTACTTTATGAGTATATGTTATGAGTTCAAATATTTTTCAGAGGAAATCAGTAAAAGCATTGAAACAATTCAAGTAAATAGAAATCAGTAAAAGCATTGAAACAATTCAAACCAAGTTTATGGATGAAAATTTATATATGTCTACCTCAGCATCCAGTTTACTTGTGTGTTTTGCTTGGTTGCACAGAACAGAGAACTCTTGATTTAATCCAGCCAAGAATTTGCAAATAGTATCTGTTTTGTTTTGTTTGAAAAGCCCTTCTTCAAGTGGTAGAGACTCTTCAGTTAAACAGGTGGCACGGGGCTCTTTCTCCCACGTCTCCACAGCAGCAAGAGGGCACCGCACACCAGGGCCTCTGCCATCTCATATCTGCACAGGATGCGCCTTGTGGTATTACCATTTTTGATGTTTAGCTTGTAGAACTGACATTAAGTGCACAGGTTCTCACCCCACCTAACATCACAGAAGATCTCAGGGTTCTGCAGGTGTCCATCTGGAAGCTGCTGCCTCCCTACACTACTGATTGTTTCTCTGCCCTTAGAGGGGAGGGGCTTGGCGCTGTCACTGAGTGCAGGAAAGAGCCCGTTTCACTTAGAGGTGGCCATCCCTTCAACAGCAGCACCTGAACTGTCTCCCAAATTCTGTGCAAATACAGGTTGAGTAACCCTTATCTGACAGGCCTGGGCCCAGAAGTGTTTTGGATTTTGGAATATGTGTATTATATACATACCAGTTCAGCCTCCCTAATCGGAAAATCCCAAATCCAGACTGCGTCAGTGAGCAGTTCCTTTGAGGGTCGTGTTGGCATTCAAAATATTTTGGATTTGGGAGCATTTTGGATTTTGGATTTCAGATGCTGGACCTGTTAGCCTGTAGGGCACCGTGGAGCTGAGGCCTCGTGGCCTTTGGAGAGAACATCTGAGGGGCCTCTGAGTAACCTCCTGGTGCAAGGCACCCGTGTTCTAAAAGCAAGACAGCGTAATGGGGTGGAGGAGGGGCTTGGTCAGAGGGAGGTGGGTAGCACCTGAAAGGACCTGGTCCTCCCCAAAGCCCCAGATCTTGTACTTGAGACCCGCCCATGACCATGTAGGCAGTGCTCCCCCACCTTTTCAGGACTTGAAACAAATGACAAGTATTCCTGCTGCCTCCGGCTCCAGCAGCCACTCCAGGGCAAGTCAACAGAGGAGGAAGTGCCTGGCCAGGGACCCTGGCTGCTTCAGGACCCTCCCTTCCGCCCTCCCTCCATAGTGATCAGTGTATGGGCATTTGCTGGGTACCACTGCAGTGGGACTGGAGCATGGAGGTTGGAATTAGAGCATCAGTGTTGGGTGGTGTGTTTGTTTACTTGTTCTGGGCTTTGTCACAGTCCCTCTGTTTGTAGATGGGATACTGAGATCTGGAGAGTTTCAATCACTGGCTTACTCCTGCCATGGAAGAGGAGTGGCAGAATCTCTGCCACATGGGTACCTGCCGCTCAGTACCCAGCTCACAACTCGCCATGCCACTCTCCCAAGCTGTCCAGCGCTGGGGCTGTCCCACCTGCACCCTCCGCTTGCAGAAGTGAACAGGGGTCCCCCTGCTTTTCCTGATCCCACTGCCCCTGCAGTCTGTCGACTTTATTACCACTTTGCAGGGAGTCCACGGCCCCCATCCTTGCATGCCTTCCCACTTAGCAAGCCAGCTTACGTCTCAAACACTTTCCTGGAACTCCTTTTGACGGCACCGCTGCTCTTCCAGCCCAGCTCACAGCCTTCATTCTCCGTGTGCGGATGGTCCCGGCGAACGATGGTCCTGCCTAACGATTTTTCTACTTTATGGTGGTGCAGAAGTAAGATGCGGTCCATGCACCCACACAGCCAGTGTTTTCACCTTCAGTAGAAACAGATAAGCTGAATCACATGAGCTAGTCAACACTTCCTTGTAAAATCAGCCTCGGCTGCATGATGCTGCAACTGCAGGCTCATGTAAGTGTCCTGAGCGTGTTTAAGGTAAGCTGTGACACAGGGCAGGTCAGGTGTGTTACATGCAGTTGTGACTTAACAATTTGTCTAGCTTACAGTGGGGTTATTGGGATGTAGCCCATTGTAAGTGGATTAGCATTTATGGGTGAGTCCTCTCCCCTGGGATTCTCCCCTAACCCCTTCAACACCTTCTTGCTTTACTGGCTCTGGGACCTCTTGGTCCCCTTTACCAGCTCCCCTCTCCTTCTGAGCCTTGACAGTGGCCAGGTCTTAAGGTCTTGGCCCCCTGTTTCATGCCAGTCCCCTTCAGAAGACTCAACTGCCATCACAGATGCAAACTCTAGCCACACCTTCAGAGCATGCTCCCTGACTCTTAGCTTGTGTCTTCCAGCTACTCCGTCTTTAGCTTATATGCAGCATCTCGATTAAGCTCAGCTCCCTTCCCAAATCTCCCACTTTTCTTTCCTTTTTATTTTTATTTACTTATATATTTTTTTTGAGACAGGGTCTTATTCTGTTGCCCAGGCTGGTCCTAAAGTCCTGGGCTCAAGCAGCCTCCCACCTCAGCCTCCCAAAGTGCTGGGATCACAGGTGTGAGCCACAGCACCCCACTGAATTCCCCATTTCTAAATGAGGCCGCCTTCCTTTCCTAGCAATCTCAATCCTTAGTCACCCCTAGCAACTTTCACTGTCAGCCAACGTAGTTATTTTATTATAGAATGTTTTCTTAATTATTACATAGACAACAGCCACAGAAATCAGAAGAAAATCTTGCCCCAACAAGTGAAGAATGGAAGTCCCAGGAAGCCATGCAAGGTGGGTCTCTGTGTGTGGACACCATTCTCCCTGGTCTCCTGGCGGGCCTGCCGAATGCTGCTTTCCCAAGGGTTTCTCAGAAGGAGCAGAGAAGAGCCTGGCTCCAGCCTGTCTCCTCCCAAAACTGAGGACACGGATGCCTCAGAGTGTGCCCTGTGCTGTTATTTACCCTGAAAAATACCGCAATAGTAATACTCATTTGTAAAGTACAATGGACCGGGCACAGTAGCTCACGCCTGTAATCCCAGCACTTTGGGAGGCCAAGGTGGGCAGATCACCTGAGGTCCGGAGTTTGAGATCAGCCTGGCCAACATGGCAAAAACCCATCTCTACTAAAAATACAAAATTAGCCAAGCATGGTGGCACGCGCCTGTAATCCCAGCTACTCGGGAGGCTGAGGCAGAAATCGCTTGAACCTGGGAGGTAGAGGCTGCAGTGAGCTGAGATTGTGCCACTGCACTTCAGCCTGGGTGACAGAGGGAGACTGTCTCAAAAAGAAAAAAACCCTATATGTAAATATATCAAAAGCCCTACTCTCCTTTGAAGGTTTATCTATATGGGGGAAGAGGAAGGGGACACTTTGCCAAAAAAAAATCAATCAAGCATATTTTTCTACAGCTTAACAATACCCTTGTCCCTCAGTATCCACAGGGGATTGGCTTCAGGACCTCCCCACACCTGCCAGATAACAAAATCCTGGGTGCTTAGGTCCCAGAGCTCAAGTCCGCCTGTGGAACCCGTAGATGCAAAAATGTGGCTGTTGACTCCTTAGCACCCTGGGAATTCTGTCTTTTCAGTTGCAGTTGGTTGAATCTGTAGCTGCAGAACTGGCAGGTGCGGAGGCTGCCTGTGCATCTTGGCCTTTCCCTGGCCATGTGCATATCTACTCATTCTTTTTAGAGGCTGTGCGGTATTTTATAGCTCAGCTACACCATCATTTTCTTCCTTTTTTTTTTTTTAAAGACAGTCTTGCTCTGTCACCCAGGCTGGAGTGCAGTGGTGTAATCTCAGCTCACTACAACCCCCGCCTCCCAGGTTCAAGCGATTCTCCTGCCTCAGCCTCCCGAGTAGCTGGGATTGTAGGTGCCCGTTACCATGCCATGCTAATTTTTGTATTTTTCGTAGAGACGGGGTTTCACCATGCAGGCCAGGATGGTCTCGAACTCCCAATCCCAAATGACCTGCCCACCTCAGCTTCCCAAAGTGCTGGGATTACAGGCGTGAGCCACCATGCCCAGCCCCATTGTTTATTTCATCAGTGCTACGGTTTGAATGTCTATGTCCCCCCAAAATTCTTATGTTGAAACTGAATCCCCAGTGTGATAGTATTAAGAAGCGGGACTTTAGGAAGTGATTCAGTCATGAAGGAGGAGCCCTCACAAACAGAGTTATGACCTTATAAGACAGGTGCAGGGGAGCTGCTTGACTCCTGGTGGGTTTCCACCTGCTGTGTAGCAAGCAACATGGCGCCATCTTGGAACAAAGAGCAGCCCTCACTGGGCACTAAGTGTCACACCTGGTCTTGGACTTCCAGAGGGACAGCTCTATTATTTATAAATTAGTCTGTGTGGACTTCCAGCCTCCACAGCTGTAAGGGACAGCTTTATAATTTCGTCCGTGGCATTTTATTACAGCAGCGTGAACAGACTGAGACAGCCAGTCTTCTAGCAATAGAGCCAACAGGCTGTGTTTAGTTCTTTTGGCTATTAGGATTGCATCATCTGTGAAAATCTTTCTGTAAATGTCCTTGCTTGCTTGTACTCACATTTTTGTAGGACATTATCCTAAAAAGGGTTACATTTCTAATTAAAATGATTAAGGCGAGGGATAGTGGTTCATGCCTATAATCCCAGCACTTTGGAAGACCAAGGCAGGCAGATCATTTGAGCCCAGGAGTTTGAGGCTGACCTGGGCAATATGGTGAGACCCTGTCTCTATTTTCTGGGTATGGTGGTGCATTCCTGTAGTCCCAGCTACTTGAGAGGCTGATGCGAGAGGATCCCTTGAACCCCGGGATGTTAAGGTTGCAGTGAGCTGTGACTGCACTGCTGCACTCCAGCCTGGTGACAGAGGGAGGCCCTGTTTCAAAAAAGAAAAGGAATCTGGTTAAAGGAAATGTACATATGTCACCAGCTCTTGCCAGAAAGCCTGCTGCAGTTTGTGCACACTCCCCTGGGCGGTGTGGGGCCCAGCGCACAGCCTCACTTACCCACGGTGTTTTCCTGCTTCCTGAGTTGGAGGATGTAGTTTTCGTCTCTATCTGAAGAAACCCAGTAAGAAGTTCCCCTCTGGTTTTCATTGCACAAGACCAGCTGTGACCCAACTGTGTCTTGCAAGAAAGTGTTTGTGTTCAAGGTCCATTGAGTGAAGCCCTTGTGCCTCCCTCCCTCGTGACTTATGGGTTTGCTTTGCACACCAGTGAGCGTCCTTTGTGCAGGTAGTGAGGTCACGTTTTGCTGTTAAGTGGTTGTTTTATGTTCTTTGACCCTTTCTGCAGCAGCAGCAGGTGGGCGTCTGCTATGCACTGTGCTCAGGTGCAGACAGCATCTGGAGAGTACCTTGAATTTTTGTACAGACCTCTGTTACTCTGCAGTACAGACAAAAGTCTTGGAATCCATGCTATCCATGCAAGAATGTTGGAATGCTGTTTTCATTTGGTTTCTTATTCTGAAAGTGTGCCTTTAAATGTTAAGAATCAGAATCCTAGAGGATTTTGCACACAATCCACACTCATCATGGGGAAGGGGCATCTGGACACCAACATTTGTTTCCATCTCAAAAGAAAGAAAGTGGATTTTGCCCCACAGGTGACAGAAGCCAGAGTGGTTTAAAGGCTGGTGGGTCCCCAAGAAGAAAGCTGGAGCCCAGCACGCTGGGCTGAGCCCCAGTAGGAGGGGAACCCCCATCCGTTTGAGGAGGAGCCACTGCCTAGCTTCCAGCAATTACCCTGGAGACCCCCATGGAGAAGCTCTGTGTTCAGTAAGGCACCAGGAGGCATAGAACGAGGGCCTGAGGGTGCTGCCAGCCAGAAAGGCCTAAGGTGGAGGCTTCTGTGTACCACACAGAGTCCCTCCCACCCCATCATGGGCAGGTGATGGCTGCTAAGACCTCCCAAGCTCCCAGAAGTAGTGAAAGGACCAGCACCTTGGAAGAGACCTTGATTTGGGACAACCAGAATGCAGTGGACACCAGAGCAGAGAGTGCAGCCAGGTATGTTGGCTCACTCCTATAGTCCCAGCACTGTGGCAGGTCGAGGCAGGTGGATCACCTGAGGTCAGGATTTCAAAACCAATCCAGCCAACATGACAAAACCCTGTCTCTACTAAATAAATTAGCCGGTTGTGGTGGTGCACGTCTGTAATCCCAGCTTCTTGGAAGGCTGAGGCAGGAGAATCACTTGCAGTGAGCTGAGATCATGCCACTGTACTCCAGGTTGGGTGACAGAACAACACTATGTCTCAAAATTAAATTACATTGCTGGGAATGACCGGGCATGGTGGTTCATGCCAGTAATCCCAACACTTTGGGAGGCTGAGGTGAGCAGATCACCTGAGGTCAGGAATTAGAGACCAGCCTGGCCAACAGGGTGAAACCCCATCTCTACTGAAAATATAAAACTTAGCTGGGCGTGGTGGTGGGCACCTGTAATCCGAACTACTCTGGAGGCTGAGACAGGAGAATTTCTTGAATCTGGGAGTCAGAGGCTGCAGTGAGCTGACATGGCACCATTGCACTCCAGCCTGAGCCACAGAGACTCTATCTCAAATAACAAGAGCAGAGAGTCACTCAATGGCCAAGCAGAACAAGTTGGACCTCAGTAGAGGCCAGGGAGATGGGGTGGTGACCATGGCCGGGCCCTCACCGCCAGCCTCCCAGCCTCGCCGCCGTGATGCTCGATGAGCCTCCCAGGTGCCCCCAGGCAAACGGGAAGGACAGAAAGCCAGAGCCAGGGAGTCATCTGGAAGATAAGCCACGGAGCTAGAAGACAGTCTTTCAATCTTGAGAGAAACTGGGGGTCTGGGAGCTGAAGCGAGCTCATTTTTAAAAACTAAAAATAAGTTAAACTTTTTTCTGCCAGGATATATAGTCAGCAAACAATACCCATTGCGGTGTGAAAGGAGACTCACGAGCTCGCGCCTGTGTGCCTGGCATGGCGTTTCCCGTCATTCCACTCCCACCTGCCCTCATCACTGACGCAGGACCTTCGCAGCTTGCATGTCCAGGAATGGAGCTGACAGGCCCCAGAAGGGACTGGGCTTGGGCCTCTGGTCAAGTCTGCAGTGCTCTCTACCCAGGGAAGCTAAGTCAGGGGGAAAAGATGACCTCACAAGCTCTGCCATGAGGGTTCCTTTACGGTCCGACCCAAGAGTGTTCGGTGAACTCAAGGAAACATGCCTGAATTCCACCCTGCCTTTATTCCGATGGGTTAGGCAGGCAGAGGCGGTCCATGTGCAGGTGCCAGAGAGCTCCCGAGGTTGACCAGGAAGCAGGTGGTATTTGGTATGGAGAACGCGTGGTCTGCTCCTCAGTGATGAGCCAAGGGGCCAGCAGAGCTCCCACGCCTGGTGTGCAGTGCCTCCCGCCTGGGCCAAGCTCCCCTCCCCTCTTTGCCTGCCTTTCTCTCTGCCTCTCTTTCTCTTCCTGCCTCTTTTTATTTTCTTTTTCTTTTTTTTTTTTGTTTGAGACAGGGTCTCTCTGCCACCTAGGCTGGAGTGCAGTGATGCCATCTTGGTTCACTGCAGCCTCCACCTCCCAGCCTCCAGCGATCCTCCCACCTCAGCCTCCTGAGCAGCTTGAACTATAGGCGCTCTCCAGCATACCAGGCTAGCTTTTGTATTTTTTGTAGGGATGGTGTTTCACCATGTTGCCTACTCTGGTCTCCCCTGAGCTCAAGCAATCCTCCCGCCTCAGCCTCCCGAGTAGCTGGGCCTACAGGCACGTGCCACCATGCCAGGCTAATATTTGTATGTTTACTAGAGACAAGGTTTCACTGTGTTTGCCAGGATGGTCTCAGACTCCTGACCTCAGGTGATTCTTCCACCTCAACCTCCCAAAGTGCTGGGATTACAGGCATGAGCCACCACGCCCAGCCCTCCAAGGGGTGTTTTTAAAAATCAATCTTTGTGTCTTGGTCTAGGCCTGCAGGGCTCAAGTTTGTGGTGACTCCTACAGCAGAAGGCAGACCATAAAGGAAGCCACGGTGCTTCAGGACCCCCCCTCCCTTTTAACCTGGAGGGGCAAGAAGCACTTTGCAGCAGAACACCCACACCCTGTGCCTGTGAGCTACGGGGCCTCCACCACCACCAGCACTGGTCACAGTGCCAGGGCTCTGTGTGCTGCCTGGCGAGGGGCTGCTGCCTCTAGCAGCCGGAGGGGCTGATGGTGCTCTCAGCAGGGCACCCTACTGGAGGCTGGTGGAGGTCCACTGTCACACACTTTAACAGAACCAGAGGCCAGGCAGGGAGGGCTAGAAAGAGAAAACTAACAGCAGGCATTCCATGTGTGTGACCAGGTTGATTCATGAGCATGTGAAGGCACCTTCAGGGACTTCCAGAAGTACTTGTCAACAGTTGGGGGCGGGGTGGGGTCCGACAGGGGAGTGGGGAGAGAGGCATCCATGCAGGCCCAGTTGACCACAGGCCGATGTGGCTGGGTAAGAGAGAAGACCCTCCCCTCACCCAAAGTTCTTTCCCACCCCTGGCTGATTCTCAGTAAAGACTCAAAACCGAAACATGTTTCTTCAAAGCGTGTAAATGCCCACAGCAAGTAGCGGGCTGCAAACCACAGCTGCCTCCAGCCTGTGTGTACCGTGCACTGAACTGGGGCTGGGAGAGGGATGTGTTAAGCCCTGTGGCTCCCGGGAAGGGCACAGCTGGTCACTGGTCATTGTGTGGAGCAAACTGGCTGCCTCCAAAGGCCCTTGGTCTCCATCCTTCCCAGGCAGCCCTCGCAGACCGGAACCCTCAAGGCGTCCTAAAGTATCGTGGAGACCTGCACCTGCCCGTGGAGTGTGTCCACACAGGCCAACATTTACTCCTAGAGATGTTGACAGCACACCTTCTAGCACGTCTCAGCCCAGGAGCCAAGGGTCGTCCCTTTAGTTGCTCACCAAGGGCTGTTGTTCTGGCCTGCAAGTCCTCATCCGCTGTGAATATGCAGAACGGAGCCAGGAGCACAAGTGCATTGGTGCAGTTCCAAGGAGGCCATGTGCTTGGCTCATTGCAGAATCCCATCTGGATTTTATTTTGCCGAAGACAAGGAAGGTCCTTTTCTGTGTAACTAGGGAGCATTTGGAGAATCCGCTCCTAGCTCACAAAGAGGAGGCCTCCAGAGTGGAGCCGCCTTTGACTGGCATCGGGGACACCCACACAGGGCATGCTGGGCTGATGCCAGCTACACTTGCCATCTGGGTTTGTGTCCTCATCTGGGCTTGGCCAGACCCCATGTCTCCAACAAACTAGTGGTCTCCCAACTGAGAGATCCGGGAAGAAGCCAGCCAGGGGCTCACACCTACAATCCCAGCACTCTGGGAGGCCAGAGCAGGTGGATCACCTGAGGTCAGGTGTTGGAGACCAGCCTGGCCAACATGGTGAAAACCTGTCTCCACTAAAAATACAAAACGTAGCTGGGCATGCTGGTGGCAGGCGCCTGTAATCTCAGCTACTCAGGAGGCTGAGGTGAGAGAATTGCTTGAACCTACGAGACAGAAGTTGCAGTGAGCTAAGACCACACCACTTTACTCCAGCCTGGGCAACAGAGTGAGACCCCATCTCAGAAAAGAAACAAAAACCCAAACAAACCAGAAAAGAGAGAGAGACAGAGAGAGAGAGAGAGCGTAAGCAAGGCTGTTCCTTCAGACCCGACTGCCCTGAAAGCAGGAACTCTGGCAGCCCTTTGCCTCTGTCTGGCTCAGGCCATGTTTTCGGGGCCCAGGGGCTCAGGGCTATTTGTCAGCCTCACCAGCACATGTGCAGACACCCAAACGGGCTGCATTGTATCTGACTGTGTCTTTTCAATTCAATTTGCTTCTTTACTGAATATGACAGGTCCCTTTCAATGCTCTTTGAAAACTGTAACCTTAATCTGAAATAAGGTACAAAAAAGCTATTTGTTAAAACCTTTTTTAGGACAGGGTCTCACTCTCCTGCCCAGGCTGAAGTGCAGTGGCATGGCCACAGTTCACTGCAGCCTTGACCTGGGCTTAAGTGATTCTCCCACCTCAGCCTCCAGAGTACCTGAGACTACAGGAACATGCCACCGTAACAGGCTAATTTTTTTTTTGAGACAGAGTCTTTCCCTGTTGCCAGGCTGGAGTGCAGTGGCGTGATCTCAGCTCACTGCAACCTCCACCTCCTGGGTTCAAGCAATTCCCCTGCCTCAGCCTCTCGAGTAGCTGGAACTACAGGCACAAGCCACCACACCCAGCTAATTTTTTGTGCGTTAGTAGAGACGGGTTTTACCAGGTTGGCCAGGATGATCTCGAGCTCCTGATTTCGTGATCTGCCCACCTTGGCCTCCCAAAGTGCTAGGATTACAGGAATGAGCCACCGTGACCAGATGACAGGCTAAATTTTCTTTTTTGAGACGGAGTCTTGCTTTGTTGCCCAGGCTGTAGTGCAGTGGCACGATCTTGGCTCATGGCATCCACCACCGCCCAGTTTAAGCAATTCCCCTGCCTCAGCCTCCTGAGTAGCTTGGACTACAGGTGGGCGCCACCACACCTAATTTTTTTGTATTTTAGTAGAGATGGGGTTTTACCATGTTGGCCAGGATGGTCTCAACCTCTTGACCTTGTGATTCACCTGCCTCGGCCTTCCAAAGTTCTGAGATTACAGGCGTGAGCCACCGTACATGGTCAACAAGCTAATTTTTAAAAAATGTTTGTAGATGGCTGGGCATGGTGGCTCACACCTGTAATCCCAGCACTTTGGGAGGCCGAGGTGGGAGGATGGCTTGAGCCCAGGAGGTGAAGTCCAGCCTACTCAAGATGGTAAGACCCTGCCTGTCTCTACAAAAATAGAAATAAATGTTAAAATTATAAATTATGAAAATAGAGCAATAAAAATACAAACACAAATTATAGATCACAAAAGTAGAAGTTTACAGCTCCAGTGGCCCCAGCATCTCAGGAGGCAGAAGTGGGAGGCTTGCTTGAGCCCAGGAGTTCAAGGCTGCAGTGAGCTATGATCGCGCCACTGCACTCTAGCCTGTATGACAGAGCGAGACCCTATCTATTTAAAAACAAACAAACAAAAACAAAAAAGTCGAGATGAGGACTCACTGTGTTGCCCAGGCTGGTTTCAAACTCCTGGGGTCAAGCAATCCCAAAGTTCTGAGATGACGGGCGTGAGCCACCGTGCCCAGCCGTAAAGTTCTATTTTTTAAAAAGCATCTTGGTTGACAGGGGTGCCTATGAAAGAAAAAGAGGACCCGGTTCAACAGCAAATCCACACATCCTGAGCCACAGAACAACCCAAGACTAGTTGCAGCCAGCACGCGGGGGCACAGGTGTTTTTTAATCCACGGTCTGGCGGGGCTCACTGAAGACAGGCATGGGGCACAGCCATCATGTGGGGCCGGCGTGTTTGATCCACTGTCTGACTGAAGACAGGCTATTCTAACTGAAGAACGCGCAGCAGCAGTGTGGGGGCCTGCGCTGTTCCGGTCTGGCTTACCTCCCATTCGGGCATAGGCTTCATTTAGGGCAGAAAAGACAAAGCTGTGGGATTGACATTCCTTGTGCGGCTCCGTTTGTTTCTCAGACCCTGCGGGGACAGGGCTCCAACCAGAAGCCAAGTCCTCTGAGGACACTGCGTCTCTGGGACCCAGGTGGGGGTGGGGGCTGGTGCCCCGCTCTGGAAAGACAGCTTTGAGAAGAGGCCTGCCTGGCTCAAGCCTCTGGTCTCCTTGGGCCTGCTCCTTCCTCCCGATTCACCCCTGCTTTCTAGGTGCACCTCAGCTGTCATTCAAGAGAAGTCCTGTCTTCACAGCTGGTAAAGGTAGATTAGATGGGACCTTTCCCAGGATTTGATTTAAGTTTCTTTCTTTCTTTTTTTTTTTTTTTAAAGACAAGGTTTCACCATGTTGGTCAGGCTGGTCTTGAACTCCCGACCTCAGGTGACCCGCCCGCCTCGGCCTCCCAGAATGCTGGGATTACAGGCATTAGCCACTGCACCAGGCCTTGAGTTTCTTTAAGCAATTTCCTTTGGAAAACATCCAGATAAGACGCAGGATGGGCCCAGGAGCAAGGCTGTTCAGAAAATCCAAAGTAGATGAGCTGTGTGAACTCACGGCTGAGGACTGTGGACACAGTCCTGGCTTCCAGAGTCTGAGCTGCACGGTTCTTACGTAGGGACAAAAAGCATCACCGTCCCTCCCACCCAGAAGGGCTCAGGTGGGCTGAAATTCCGTGAGTTCAAGGAGGTGCCTTGGCCAGGCCATAGGTGCTCTCTGGGTTCCCCTCGGCACCATGTGGTCCCCAGTCGGAGAGGCTGGACAAGAGCGGACAAACCTGACGTCCCTCCTCATTATGTGTATATATATTTTTGAGATAGTCTCACTCTTGTTGCTCATACTGGAGTGCAGTGGCTGGATCTCTGCTCACTGCAACCTCTGCCTCCCAGGTTCAAGTGATTCTCCTGCCTCAGCCTCCGGAGTAGCTGGGACTACAGGTGTGTGCCACCACGCCTGGCTAAGTTTTATATTTTTAGTAGAGACAGTTTCACACACATTGGCCAGGCTGGTCTTGAACTCCTGACCTCAAGTGATTCACCTGCCTCGGCCTCCCAAAGTGCTGGGATTATAGGCATGAGCCACTGTGCCTGGCTCCCTCCTCATTGTAGTTTGACAGTAAAGAAGCTGGCTAAAACCCACCAAAACCAAGATGGAAACGAGAGTGACCTCTGGTCATCCTCACTGCTACATTGCCACAGCACCGTGACAGTTACAAATGCCATGGCAATCAATGTCAGGAAGTTACCCTCTATGCTCTAAAAAAAGGGAGGCATAAATAACCCACTCCTCGGGGTTGCTGGATCTATTAGCCATTATTTTGTTCCTTTACCTTCCTAATAAACTTGCTTTCACTTTATGGACTTGCCCTGAATTCTTTCTTGCTAGTCCAAGAATCCTCTCGGGGTCTGGATCAGGACCCCTTCCTGGTAACACTTGCACGGACAGTTTAACCAGGACAGTGCATTATTGATTTTGTCATCTATCTCGCGGGCCCTGAATGAACCACCTCCCAGCACCCAGGCAGGTGCCAGGTTTTTCCTTCGTGGAGGGATGATGCTGGCTTTCTGTTTGCAGCAAGCTGTCTTGGATCACCTGTGTGACTTGGGACAAGTGAAGTCCCTGTTTCCTTATGTGAAAGTGACAGTAAGGGAGGTAAGAGGACGGAACTTTGCCAGCCAGTCTCTAAGATCTACCTGCTCTGAGTCTCTGAATTTAAGCAGGACAAATATCCCTTATCTTTGCAAGGATGTGGACTGGGCTTCCACTGTCAGCCAGGGACGTCCAGGGCGTGCCGTCTCCTCGGATCTGCCCTGTGGGTCTGGATGAGGCTCCAGCTCCAGGCCCTCAGCTTACGCCCATCAGAACCCCAGAGGAGCGTGGCCGGTGGGAGTGGGGCCTCCCTGCACTTGCTGCAGACCTCGGAGATCTGCTAGAAAACGTACAGTCCTACACCTGCAGCTACTGAGAAGAGTTCCCACTGGGAATGAGGCTTCGGTCAGACAGAAGGGGAGGGAAGAAGTCCTGTCTCTTTTTCAGAAGGGATTCTCCTGGGGACCGGGGAGGCAGAGCGGTTGGCGGGTGAGTGAAAAGCTGTGGCCCCGCTGGGCGGCCCGTGGCCCTAAAGGCAGCCCGCAGTCAACCTGCTGGCTTGTCCACATGCAGGTGGACACTGGAGGCGTGTCCACTGGAGGAGTGTCCATTTGTCCACTGGAGGCGGGGTCTGTGCCAGCCTCAGGGTGTCCAGCTGAGCGCCCAGGCCAGCGGATGACCGGGGCCTGCGGAGCCCCTGAGGACCTGCGAAGGCCCCCTTCCTCCGGACAGGCATGAGCGCCAGAACCCGCCCTGCTGAGCCAACAGGCGGCTGGGCCATACGAACCGCATTAACGATTAATAGTTTCCAGTTGTTGCTTCGCGGGCTCCCCGGGGCCTCTGCACCTCCGCAGGCTCCTGCTCCACCCGCTCCCTGACCGCCGGGTCTGAAGCTGTTAGCGCCTCCTGGGTCCCGCTGGGACAGGGCGAGGGGTCAACGCGCCCCCAGGGCCCCGGCGCGAGCGGGTCCCCGCGTCCACCTGTAGCGGGTCGGGGGCCAGGCCGGGCTGGGGTCTTTCCCGCCCACCGGTGAGGGCGGGGGACAGGGGGCGGGAGGGGCGGGGCCGGGGGCGGGAGCCGAGCCGAAGGGGCGGGGCGGGGCCGAGCACGGGGCGGGGGCGGGGCGGGGGCGGGGGCGAGGGCGGGGCGCGCAGTGGCGCGCGGGCGGGAGGGCGGCGGGGCGGGTAGCAGCCCCGGCCGGCGTCTGCGCCCCTAGCTCCTCCAAGACCGGCTTCGGTGCCTTGGGCCCCGTCGCGCGCCGCCATGGTGGGCCGGCTGAGCCTGCAGGATGTGCCGGAGCTCGTGGACGCGAAGAAGAAGGGCGACGGCGTCCTGGACAGCCCGGACTCGGGGCTCCCCCCCAGCCCCAGCCCCAGCCACTGGGGGCTCGCGGCGGCCGCGGGCGGCGGAGGCGGCGGGGAGCGCCCTCCGGCCCCGGAGGCGCTGGAGCCCGACGCGGCGGCGACCCCCACAGCTCCGGTGAGTGGTCCCCGCAGGCTCCTGCTCCGCGAACGCGGCAGCTGTCGGCCCCGGGATCCCCGGTCTCGGAGCTCTGTGGGTCCCGGGAACCCCGGTCTCGGAGCTCTGTGGGTCCCGGGAACCCCGGTCTCGGAGCTCTGTGGGGCCCTGAATCCCCGGTCTCGTAGCTTTGTGGGTCCCAGGATCCCCGGTCTCGGAGCTCTGTCGGGAGCGCGTTCCTCACAGGGAGCCCAGGGCGGGAGCCAGGTGGAGCCGGTGGCTGGAAAGTTGTCGCCCGAGAGGCACGGGAGCCCCGGGAGCGCAGAGCCGTCTCCTCACTTCGGTGGAGGCCCCCGGGCTGCCGGGCTGCGGGGGGTGCCTGGAGGGAATCCTGGCCCGCCCGGACCCTGGCCGACACCCCGCGGTTTGGGCTCCTGGGGCTCCTGCCTCCTCCCCGCCTCCCCGCAGCGCCTGCGCCCCGCGATCCCCACCCCAGAGCGAAGGCCGCCTCCCCGACCTTCCCAGAAAGGTCCCGCCCCAGCTGCGGCCTCGAGGCCCCTCTTTGCCTGAACCCTGAGAACTTGCTGGCTGGGAGGCCTCTGGGCGGTGGAACCTTTTATTTTACTTTCAAGTTTTCACGGAAGGAAAAAGCTCGGCCTTATCTGTAGCCCTGGGAGTCTTTCGGACACCGGTGTCGCTGCAGAACCCGGGGAACCCACATCTGCCCGCGGTCTCAGCGACGCCCCAAGGGGGCTGCAGCTACGGGTGGGATGTCAGCCCTCCCCGAGTGAGGTCGGCGGCGCGCCACTGTTCCTGGGGACCCGGTGGGGGCTCCGCTGGGCTGGTGGTGTCGCGCTCCACCATGACTCTGGGTGGACATCAGGGCGGGGTCCTCACGTCCATCCCCAGGCGGGGCTGCTTCATCTCGGCCTTCAGTGCCCTCCCGTCCCGTCCCGTCTGGCCTCCTCATCCACCTGCCCCGGCCACAGGACTCACACCCCTCGCGTTTCCGCTGCGCCCTCCGCCCGCGCGCCCAGGGCCTCTCGCCTCCCCGGAGGAGTTGTGCTGGTCCCTCAGTGCCCCGCTCGCGTCACCTCCGCCTTCCTTGATGCTCCCCGGGGCCTCGCCAGCGTCCACGGCTGAGTCCCCCTCCCACAGTGGCTGTTCGTTCATATGTCTGCAGCCTCCTCTCCGCACCCACGCCCTGTCACCCCAGCCCCAGCCTGGAGCAAAGGCGGTGCTCAGGGTGGGCAGGGGTGGAAGCAGAGAAGGCGAGAACCGAGCGTCCTGGCAATGCCTGGAAGGCGGTGCGGGGTTCACAGAAGCACCCACCTTCTCATGAGGACACCTGGGAAGTGCCCGCTTCTGTTGGGGAGGGTCTGGCAGCCAGAGAGCTGGCGGGGATGCAGGGCCTACTGTGACTATGTGGGGACTGTTTGTAGAAGCTAATGCCCACACCTTATGTATCCCCCACAATTCATGCTCCACACAATTCACCCCCCTACAATTCAACCCCACACGATTCACCCTCCTACAATTCACCCCCCACACGATTCATCCCCTACAATTCACCCCCACACACGATTCACCCCCTACAATTCACCCCCACACGATTCACCCCCCACAATTCACCCCCGACAGGATTCACCCCCTACAATTCACCCCCTACAATTCACCCCCACACGATTCACCCCCCTACAATTCACCCCATACACAATTTACCCCCACACATGATTCACCCCCATACAATTCACCCCACACACAATTCACCCACACACGATTCACCCCCTACAATTCACCCCCACACGATTCACCCCCACACACAATTCGCCCCCCTACAATTCACCCCCACACACGATTCACCTCCCTATAATTCACCCACACACAATTCACCCCCACACACGATTCACCCCTCTACAATTCACCCCACACACGATTCATCCCCACACACAATTCACCCCACACACACGATTCACCCCACACAAATTCACCCCCCACACACGATTCACCCACACACACACAATTCACCCCCCACACACAGGATTCATCCCCACACACACACGATTCACACACACACACACGATTCACCCACACACACACGATTCACCCCACACACACACGGTTCACCGTTAGACACACGATTCACCCCACACACACGATTCACCCCCACACACGATTCACCCCCACACGATTCACCCACACACACACGATTCACCCATACACACACGATTCACCCCCACACACGATTCACCCACACACACACACACGATTCACCCCACACACACGATTCACCCACACACACACACACGATTCATCCCACACACACGATTTACCCCACACACGATTCACCCCACACACGATTCACCCACACACACGATTCACCCCCAGACGATTCACCCACACACACACGATTCACCCACACAATTCACCCCCCACACACGATTCACCCACACACACACACGATTCACCCTCACACACACGATTCACCCCACACACACACGATTCACGCCTTCACACAGTTCACCCCCACACAATTCACCCCCCATACACAATTCATCCCCCTACACACAGGATTCACCCCCCACACACAATTCACTTTTCCAGACAGGATTCACCCCCACACACACAATTCACCCTTCCACACGGGATTCACCCCCCCCCACAATTCACACCCACACACACAATTCACTGACCTTGGTTCCCACCCACAGCCCCTCCTTCACCCTGGCCTTGCTGAGCCTCCACCCAGGCCCAGGACCTGGACCCTCAGGACCCTCTGCCTCTCCCATCCTGGGCCCTCTTGGCTTTCGCATTCCCACCCCCCTATTGACACCTAGTCCTGGTCTCAGAACTAACCTTCTAGCCTTCTAGAAACGTTTGCCTCCTTCTCTGTCCTGGGAGATGTGGGGGTGGGGCTGCCAACTCCATACCTTGGCCCAAATGCACATCCTTCTCTCAAATTAGGTAAAGAAAATGGGAGATCCCTGGTAAACAAAGGGCTTCTGGGCTCAGACTCTGCACCGTGTTTAACTTTGCCCGCTTAACACAAAGGCCTGGATTCCGGCAACCTGGTGAAAGCCAGCACCGAGTTCTAGAACCTTCCTGGTTAATCAGAGTCCCACGCAGTGACCCGGCCGGAAGTGCTGCTGTGCTCTGCTTTGCTGAGCATGCTGGATGGTGGAGGGCAACAGGGAGAATATTTGGTGTCTGTCTTTCTTCTTTTTTGACACAGTCTTGGTTACCCAGGCTGGAGAACAGGGGCACGATCTAGGCTTACTGCAACCTCTGCATCCTGGGTTCAAGCAATGCTCGTGCCTCAGCCTCCCTGGCAGCTGGGACTTCAGTCACCCGCCACCACACCTGGCTAATTTTTGTATTTTTAGTGGAGACGAGGTTTCACCATGTTGGCCAGGCTGGTCTCAAACTCCTGGGCTCAAGGGATCCTCCCACCTCCGCCTCCCAAAATGCTGAGATTACAGGTGTGAGCCACTGCACTTGGCCAGATTGAATCTTTAGTTGAAAAACAAAAAGTCCCCTGGTGGCATATTTTTTGTTTTGACCTTTCCTAGAGTGTTGCTGAGACGGAGCACTACGGAATGGAGGGTTCTGGCAAGGTGAGCCTTAGCTCACCAAGGTTTCCCACCGCATGGCCAGGGGCAGCGGCTGGCTGAAGCTCCTTTCCCACAACCTCACCAGGGGAAGGGGGCGTTGCCTTGCTGTGCTGATACGTCACAGGGCATGCGATGTGACTCCTCTGAGGCACATGGCACAGTCGTGGTCAGCCTGGTATTTGAAGCCAGACCTCTCGGCTCCCTGCCCAGTGCTTCTCTGGTGTGCCCAGCAGGGGGGACACAGATCCCAGCCAGGCCCATCAGCTGGAGGCTCAGAGCCACAGCCTCCTGTTGGCCATGCTTCGAAATGGCCTGCAGGGGCCAGGCCCAGTGGCTCATGCCTGTAATCCTAGCACTTTGGGAGGCTGAGGTGGCCGGGTCACCTGAGGTCAGGAATTTGAGACCAGCCGGGCCAACATGACAAAACCCCGTCTCCACTAAAAATACAAAAAAATTGGCCAAGCATGGTGATGCATGCCTGTAATGCCAGCTACTCAGGAGGCTGAGGCAGGAGAATCATTTGGATCTGGGTGGCAGAGGCTGCAGTGAGCTGAGATCATACCACTGCACTCCAGCCTGGGTTATGGAGTGAGACTCCATCTCAAGAAAAAGAAAGAAAGAAATGGCCCACAAGAGCTCTAACTGCGTTTTTCTCTGTCCTTAAGAATCCAGCGTCTCTGCCTCTGCCTCCCGGCTGTGCACTGAGGCTGTGCCCCCTGTCCTTTGGCGAAGGAGTGGAGTTTGACCCCTTACCACCAAAGGAAATAAGGTAAATATAGAAATGCAGCAGGCCCCACTTTTACTCTGTTCTTAACAGTTCATTTTTCATTTGAGATATTAATACTTATTATTAAAAACATTAGTTAATTGCAGAAGTGTGCCAAAGGTGATTAATAGTTTGGTGGGCCCTCTTTTTTCCCTGCATTCTGACCAGCGCACTATATAGACATGCTTTTTTTTTTTTTTGAGACGGAGTTTCGCTCTTGTTACCCAGGCTGGAGTGCAATGGCGCTATCTCAGCTCACCGTAACCTCCGCCTCCTGGGTTCAGGCAATTCTCCTGCCTCAGCCTCCCGAGTAGCTGGGATTACAGGCACGCGCCACCGTGCCCAGCTAATTTTTTGTATTTTTAGTAGAGACTGGGTTTCACCATGTTGACCAGGATGGTCTCGATCTCTCGACCTCGTGATCCACCCACCTCGGCCTCCCAAAGTGCTGGGATTACAGGCGTGAGCCACCGCGCCTGGCCCAGATTCATCATTTCATCAGCGAAGTCTGAGCTTTAATGAATGACAGTGGAGGAACAGTCCTGGCCATAGACATGCTTTTTACAGTAGGAATGAGATCGTGTCATGTGTAAAGCTCTGCAGCTTCTATTCTGCACGTCACATACCGTGGCTGTTGGAAGCTTTCATTTCTGTCAGAAATTAATTCTTCTTTCCAGAAGCTGCTGCCCCCGACTCCCTGACCTGCAAGCCCCTCTGTGAGGTAGTTCAACCTTATCCTATGGTACAGTTTCACTAGGCAAGTGCTGGTCTTTCCCTGGGAATCATCTCATTCAGGACTACCTGGAGGCAAAGATGCATTCAGAGGCTCAGTTAAGGACAGGCCTCTTCAGAGACAGGAGTTTTACTCTTAGTACCTGGTGGTTTCATAGCTGGAGTTTCGGTTGCATTAACACAAAGGCCCTTTGACATGGAACAAAGCAGAGGTTCGTCCACTTGGAGGTGATCGGCCGAGGCTTCTGTGCCTGTGAGACTTGAATTCTGAACAAAATGGGACCGTGACTTCGTGACGTCTGCTCCCACCGGCCCTTCACTACTTACCTGAGGAGGCGAGATTTTTCCATCTGACTTACAAAAGAATTCTGATTCTTACTTACCTGGCCATGGGTAGGGGCTGCTTGGGGGCAGTGCTGTTAGATGTATCTGTATGTGACACTTGTACACAGTTCAGTATCTACAAAGCCATAATAATTCAGTAAAATGCATGAAAGCTTTGCTTCTCTAAGAAAACTAACTTCCCGCCAGGTGCAGCAGCTCACTCCTGTAATCCAGCACTTTGGGAGGTTGAGGCAGGCAGATCACGAGGTCTGGAGATTGAGGCCATCCTGGCCAACATGGTGAAACCCTGTTTCTAGTAAAAATACAAAAATTAGCCAGCTGTGGTGGCGCACGCCTGTAGTCCCAGCTACTCAGGAGATTGATGCAGGAGAATCGCTTGAACTCGGGAGGTGGGGGTTGCAGTGAGCTTAGACTGCACCACTGCACTCCAGCCTGGGTGACAGAGTGAGACTCCAGCTCAAAGAAAAAAAAGAAAACTAACTTCTGGGCCAGGCACGGTGGCTCATGCCCGTAACCCCAGCATTCTGGGGGACTGTAGCAGGAGAATGGTTCGAGACCAGCCCAGACTACAATAGTAAAACCTGTCTCTACACAAAATACAAGAATTACCTGGGTGGCACACGCCTGTAGTCCCAGCTACTCAGGAGGCTGAGGTGGGAAGATCACTTGAGCCTGGGAGGTTGAGGCTACAGTGAATTGATTATGCCACCACACTCCAACCTGGGCAACAGAGTGAGAACTCTCTTTTTTAAAAAAAGAAAAAATTTAGCAGCATTACCTACAACAACAAAAAAGAAAACGAAAAAATAAGGCCGGTCACAGTGGCTCACGCCTGTAATCCCAGCACTTTGGGAGGCTGAGGTGGGGGGATCGCCTAAGGCTAGGAGTTCAAGACCATCCTGGCCAAGATGGTGAAACTCCATCTCTACTTAAAAAAAAAATACAAGAATTAGCTGGGTGTGGTGGTGTGTACCTGTAGTCCCCAGCCACTTGGGAGGCTGAGGCAGGAGAATTGCTTGAACCCGGGAGGCGGAGGTTGCAGTGAGCCAAGATCACACCACTGCACTCCAGCCAGAGCTGGACTCCATCTCAAAAAATAGATGATAGATAGATAGATAAGAGCTGATTGATCCCTGGAGGAGACAGAGAAACTGGTCCCCACCCTGTGGAGCAGTGGAATCCACCTCATTACATAATTACAATGACAGCGCTTGCCTTGCTCTGTGGAACGCTCCACCCATTTATTATCAAGCCTCCTTTACGGAAAGGAAACGGAGGCTGGGGGAGTGAAGTGACTTGGTGACGGTCTTAGCTCATGTGAGTGGGAGCAGGACCCAGGGCTGCCACCCACAGTGGCTGAAGGGATGCGGGGTGGGCTTTGGAAGCCTGCACCCTGCGTTTGAATCCTGACTCCACCACTCAGTGGCACCGTGACCTGCACCTCAGCACCTCGGTTCCTCTCTCAGGCTTGTTGGGAAGATTAAATTGGAAAGCACTTGAAGGAGTTCCTGGCACACAGTAAGTGTTTTCTAGACCCTACGACCCTGTGCTGCTGTTCCATGGAGCGGCCATGTTTCTGCATGTGCAACCAGAGATGACTCCAGGTCACGGTAGGGACCCCGAGCCCCTGGCTAGAGGAGCAGCTTCACGCAGCCTTGTGTCTCCCACCAGGTACACGTCCTCGGTCACATACGACTCGGAGCGACACTTCATGGACGGCGTGCAGCTGCCCCTGGGCCTGGCCGTGGCCTCCTGCAGCCAGACAGTCACTTGCCTCCCCAACTGCACGTGGCGCAACTACAAGGCTGAGGTGCGGCTGGAGCTGCGCCACAAGCCCTCACGCTTCCTCAGCACCACCATCGTCTACGGCAAGTACCCCAAGACCGTCTACACCACCACCCTGGATTACAACTGCCGCAAGACGCTGAGGCGGTTTCTATCCAGCGTGGAGCTCGAAGCCGCGGAGCTCCTGGGCAGCGACGACCTCTCGGATGAATGCTGACTCGGCAGGCTGGGCTGGGGCTGGGCGGCTCTTCCTCTGCCCTGCCCCCGACCTCTCCAGGCTGGGTGGGGTTAGGGTTAGGGTTGGGGGGACCGGCTCTTCCACTGCTCCTGACCTGACAGATGACTGGGCAGGCTGGGCTGGGGTCAGGGTTAGGGTTGGGGGACTGGCTCTTCCGCTGCCCTGCCCCCGACCTCTCGCATGACTTGGCAGGCTGCACTGGGGTCAGACGGCTTTTCCACTGCCCCCAGCTACCGTGGCCAAGCCCGGCAGCCTTGTCCTTCATGTCATTCTAGCCCCAGAGGAGTCTAACCTAGAGATACCTCCAAGTCTGGGGAAGAAACAAAATCACTGCATCCCATAATGACTGGGATCTTTGTGTTTTAATTTCAAGCTGTTTTTGAAAGGAGTGTTTGTCCTGCTTTGCTGCTGTAGTGTTTCCCCAAAGTCTCCATCTGATGAGGCGATAAAAAAGCCATGAGGACGGCCAGAAAGCAGCAGTGGTCTGGGATGGGAGGGAGGGAAGCTCCCCGTCCACTGGTCAGTTCCTCAGAAGAAGAGCATGGAAATGTCCTGGGATGGAAAGTGAGATTTAAGGAATTTCAGCTGCGGGGTTTTCACTGCACAAAAGTGGTGCTAATTCAGTAACCGGTGGCGCGTGGGGTCTAATCCGTGGAGAGCTGAGCTCTGTCCTGTGTGTTTAAATTCCCACCTCCTTTTGTTTCCTGTTACCTGAACTCCTGTAATTCCCTAAATCTTTTTCAATATAACAACAACAGCAAAAAAAAAACAAACCCAAACCACAATATAAGATGCCTTAAAAAAAATTAAAGGTTGGCCATGCTGTCGCCAGCTCCGGGAGGGCCAGGCCGATGGGCGGCAGGTTTGGGAGCGGAGGCTCTGGTTCTGGTCAGTTCCCAGCGCAGGCTTTGGCAGAACGCCTGGAACCCTTGGCCTCTGGTGACGGTCTCCGCAGGCTTCCGAGGCTCTCCTGATGTTTTGGGGCTTCAGAATACTTTCCAATTTTCTCACCAGGCACAACGGAGAGGAGGGCTCCTTTTTTTTTTTTTTTTTTTTTTTTTTAAGAGAAACAGCGTTCTAAGAGTATGCTTGAAAAACACACCTTTTGGGAGTCCATGAGGGGAGAGGACACTTGGGGCAGGAACCGGCGGCTCTGACCGGAGAGGCCCAGGCGAGGCTGATGATGACCACATTATCTTGAGAGGGGCCGGGCTTGACTCATTCTTAGGACTTCAATGGCTTCAGAATTGGCGGGATTCTGCCAGTGCCTTAGGACTAATGCAAAAAGCAGTGAAGGCCCCTGTGGTGGCTCGTGCCTGTAGTCCCAGCTACTTGGGGAAACTGAGGCAGGGGGAGCTCTTGAGCCTGAGAATTCGAGACCAGTCTGAGCAATAGAGTGAGCTTCCATCTCTAAAAGAAAAAAGGGCGACGACATCTGTGCCCCTGACACCAGCCAAGCTAAGCTGAATTGAAGTAGGGAATGGCGCCAAAACCTGGCCGCTGTCACGATGGCCTGTGTCCCTCTTATGCCACTGTTCGAGTCGAAGCGACAGTCAACTGAAGCTGGAGTCAACTGAAGATGTTCCCGAGGTCGGTGTGAATTCGGCTGACCTGGCCCAGCGGTGGGGCCGGGACCAGGGTTCGAGACCCCAGCCCTGCCTCCCGCTGCCCGCGCCCCCGGCCCCTGCTCCTTAGAACCTTCCACCTATCCCTGCGGTGTTTGAGTAAAGAAAGCGGCGGACGGTTTTTTTTCTTCCAATATTGGAAAGAACAAACTAGATACTTCCTTTGAATCCACCCAGATTATGTCAAGCTCCCGAGGCCTGCTGAGCGCCGTGAGCTCCTCGTCCGCCGTGGCTCCGGTTTCCGTGGACGCTTTCCATCTGCCCGGACGCAGTGCCCGGAACCAAGGCGGGGACTCTGCGGGGATAATGCCTCTTCTGCGTCTGCGGTGGTGGAGGTGGAGAGTCACGCTGTCCTCTGCGGACAGCAGCGTTCGATCTGCTGTGCCCCTAACGGACGCGACGGCGCCGTGGACAAGGCCTGCGGTCACTTTGGTGGCTCCAGCTTCCGGGTGAAGCTCAGCTGGGACCCAGTGAGGGGCACTCGGGGCCCCAGTGGCTCCTCATAGTCACGTGCAGAGTGAAAAATGCTTCCTGTGGTTGATGGAGCAAGTGCCACGATAACAATGGATTTTTCTGTCTGATTTCATGTTGTGAAGTGGTCAGTGTAATTTTTAGGTAATGTTAGGGGGTCCTCAAGGCCTTGCTCTGCCCCCTGTTTCCACTTAGTGGAAACAGGACCCGCTGTGTGGCAGGCGTGGGAGTCACGTGTTCTCCGGTGTCCTTAGGAGACTCTCTTTTGTCTTAGGGGACTGTTAAGTTCAGGCAAATCACCTAGGTGTGGAGAGAGTCTGAAATTCATCAGTAAAGTAAGTGGGAGTGAGCGATTGTGAATGTGTAATGCAAATGGAAAGCCTGGTGTTATTGTGTTAAAGTTATTCACTAGGGAGCAGCTGTAGTTATTTCCAACCCTCCTTCTCTCCAAACCTGCTTTGCTGACAGCTGCAGAAAAGGAAGCGTGTGAGGAAAATGGAACCTGTCAGGGTGGGTCGGAGGCGTCTGTCCATTGTTCGTTTGCAGGGTGGAAGCAGTGAGGTTTCAGACCCACTGATTAAAAACACACATTCCCAAGTGTATGTGAGAGACACTGTTTATTTGTTAATTAAAAAGCGTTTTTCTCTGTCTCTTAAATCATGGCTTTCAGGTAATAAGGATACTTTTAGCGAAAAGTTGTTTTCCTTTCAAACCACAGACCTTTTAAAAAGACTTTAATTTGAGCGAATACCTTTCTATTTGACACTTTCCCTGTTTCTGACCTTAGGAAACCAGAAAACGTTTGACAGACGCAATGTTTTCAATTGACCTTTGATACCTGTTGTGCTCCCTTTCGCTTTGTGACTTCTCCATTTAACAATAAATTATCTGAAAAACAAAACTTCGAGAGATGTTTATTTTTAAGTAAAATTATGTTTCATTAAGCAAAATGAGAAAAACAGCTCCTCATCTTGAGAAATTTTAAGACGTAATTATATTTAACAATCTAAATCTACAAGTACAAGATTTTCCAAGGGTGGCTGAGCATGGGGGCTCACACCTATAATCCCAGCGCTTCACAAGGCCAAGGCTGGAGGCCAGGAGTTCGAGATCAGCCTTGGCAATGTAGCATGACCTCACCTTTACAAAAATTAAAGAGGAAAGTGGCCGGTTGTGGTGGCTCACGTCTGTAACCCCAGCACTTTGGGAGGCCAGAGGCAGGTGGATTGCCTGAGGTAAAGAGTTCGAGACCAACCTGACCAATATGGTGAAACCCCGTCTCTACTGCAAATACCAAAATTAGGCAGCGCAGTGGCAGGTGCCTTTAATACCAGCTACTTGGGAGGCTGAGGCAGGAGAATCGCTTGAACCCGGCAGGTGGAGGTTTCAGTGAGCCGAGATTGTACCACTGCACTCCAGCCTGGGCAATGGAGTGAGACTCCATCTCAAAAATAAATAAATAAATAAAATAATAAAAATAAATAATTTCTGTGGCTTGCTTCAGGGGAGGAAAGGGTGAGGGAAGGCCAGAGAGCCCTTTGCCTCTGCCGTTTTCTCAATTTCTTGGAGCTTAAAACAGCATGCCAAGGTACCAGATTTTGGGGTGGCATTTCCTGCACACCGTCAGTCCCTTTGGGCAAAGCAGAGAGTCAACAAGAAACATTGAAAATGGAAGGAGGCCCCATATTTCATTCAAGCATCCAATTCATGGCAAGGCTCTGTGTGTATCTGTCTTTGAGTGATGACTGGGAAGTAATTATGTCCCAGACATGCCGCTCCATCCAAGACTGAGGCCATCTTAGATGCTGGAGGCCACCATCTTGGATGCTGGAGGCCACCATCTTGGATGCTGATCTGCCATGCTGACCTGTGATTCACCCCAGTTCCGGGCTGCCTCTAAGATTTCTATGTTATCTATGGTTCCTTGTCCAAGAACACGTGCTCACCACAGATCTCACAGAGACAGGTTCACTGGGATTCTTGCCTTTCCCTGTAGGAGTCCCACACAATGCTTCCCTGTGGTGGACAAGGCCTGGGTCTGGGGGTGAGGGCACAGGGATCCATCATCTCCTCCTGCTGCTGTTTGGGACATCACGGCTTCTGCCCATGAGTCTCTATTAGATGTTTCTTTGTGTTTTGTTTTGTTTTATTGAGACAGGGTCTCCCTCTGTCTCCCAGACTGGGGTGCAGTGGCACAATCATAGCTCCCTGCTGCCCAAGAACCCCCTGGACACAGCGACCTGCCCATCTCAGCCTCCCAAGTAGCTGGGACTACAGGCATGCGCCACCACATCGGCTAATTTTTAAATTTTTTTTGTAGAGACAGGGTTTCGCCACGTTGCCCAGGCTGGTTTTGAACGCTTGTGCTCAATCTTCCTGTCTCTCAGCCTTCCAAAGTTTTGGTATTACAAGCGAGAGCCACTGTCCCAGCTTCAGTGTTTCTTTCTGAGGAACTAAATTTGTCAGCCTCTTTCTTCAGCCTCTCAGCTTCTCTGAACCTCCAGAGTGGTTTCATATGGCTTGCCTGTCGCAAAACAAACGCAGAGTGTAATTTCTATAATTTCTTCTAGCTTTTAATAGAAATTATGTCTGATTTGGCTGATTAGGGTAACAACCGGGGCTAATTTTGCCAATTAGACATGGTGTAAATGTTCCATAAAATGAATTGGCTAATCAGCAGTTCCAAGGTTTTGAGGGGAAAATATTTAAAACACAAAAGATTAAGTCTATAGGGGTCTGTGGGTGTGGGTATGTGTAGAGGAATAGTCAAAAGGGTGTTGAAACTAAGAATGTCCCCAGCCTTTCTAAGTATCTCAGATTAAGCTGGTGCTCCCAAGAGGAAAAGTAGTAAATATAATTAACAATAATAATAATAATAATTAATAATATGAATCTCAAGCCTTTTTGGTATAGTCTGGAAATTAAGGAAGTGAATGACCGGGCATGGTGGCTCATGCCTGTAATCTAAGCACTTTGGGAGGCCGAGGTGGGTAGATCATGAGGTCAGGAGTTCGAGATCAGCCTGGCCAACATGGTGAAACCCCATCTCTACTAAAAGTACAAAAATTAGCCGGGCATGGTGGTGGGTGCCTGTCATTTCAGCTACTTAGGAGGCTGAGGCACGATAATTTTTTTTTTTTTTTTTTTGAGGTGGAGTATTGCTCTGTCACCCAGGCTGGAGTGCAGTGGCACGATTTTGTCTCAGTGCAACCTCCGCCTCCTAGGTTCAAGCAATTCTTCTGCCCCAGCCTCCCGAGTAACTGGGATTACAAGCATGTGCCACCACACCCAGCTAAGTTTTGTATTTTTACTAAAGACGGGTTTTACTATGTTGGTCAGGCTGGTTTTGAACTCCTGACCTCGTGAACCACCTGCCTCAGAGGATAATTGTTTAAACCCGGGAGGCAGAGGTTGCAGTGAGCCAAGATCACGCCATTGTACTCCAGCCTAGGTGACAGGGCGAGACTCTGTCTCAAAAAAAAAAAAAACAAAGAGGAAGAAGCAAATGACTCTATTGATTAGGTAACAAATCCCATTGAGAAGCATACCACTTTTAAAAATTAAATTCTGATAATTTTGAGAATAATCACTATCAAGTGGTTTGTTTTTACTACTATTTCCAGATTGCTTCCAAATACAGGTTTGGGGAAATGAAAAGCTGAACAAGCTAAATGTGTTTATTGCAGGGCTTCTTGGGATGTTTGTACTAGTCAGCTCGTGCTGTATAACAACCACCACAAAAATTGCACCACTGCATACAACAGTAAGCATTTATTTCTTGTATACTAATCCGATACAGTTCTGTCCCTGGCTAGGTGTTGAATTCAGATCTGTTCCACTCAGCCGTGAAGCAGGGTAGAGAGGTGGCTTGGGCACTTCCTTCTCAGGGCAGAAGCCATGTAATTCCTCTGAAGGTCTACATGGGGACCTGGCTTGCTGTTACTTCCACCACATTCTGTTAGCCAAAGCAAGTTACATGGATGGCTACACCAAACATCAGAGGTCAGGAAACCATCACACTTCCTCCACAGATGTGGGAAAAGCAGTGAATATTTGCTCTATAATCATCTACCCCAGCCGTTAATATGGTAACGTGCATTGGGAGTCTTCAAAAGAGGAAATCTAGTAGATAGCACTTTCCAAACTCAATGGACCACAGAACCCACGAACATTTCAAGGGACTAATGTTTGCAGAATTAACTTTAAGAAATGCTAGTTTATATGTATAACATTCAGAGACCAGTCAGGGAACCAAAACGGTACTAGACTACAGAGAGCTGCTGATACAGATGCTGGAAGGCATCACTAACTGCAAGAGGCAGCTCCCACCACAGCACCCCTCTGATGGCAATTTCCACCTGCAGCAGCTAGAAAAAGATGAGCAAATTAAACTCTGAGTAAGAAGAAGGAATTGGCCAGGTATGGTGGTTTATGCCTGTAATCCTGCTGAGGCAGGAGAATCACTTGAACCCGGGAGGCAGAGGTTGAGGTGAACTGAAATTGCACCATTGCACTCCAGCCTGGGCAACAAGAGCAAAACTCCATCTCAAAAAGGAGGTGGAGGTGGGCAGATCACCTGAGGTTGTGAGTTAAAGACCAGCCTGACCAACATGGAGAAAACCTGTCTCTACTAAAAATACAAAATCAGCCAGGTGTGGTGGTGCATGCCTGCGATCCCAGCTACTTGGGAGGCCGAGGCAGGAGAATTGCTTGAGCCCGGGAGGCAGAGGTTGTGGTGAGCTGAGATGGCGCCATTGCATTCCAGCCTGGGCAACAAGAGGGAAACTCCAACTCAAAAAAAAAAAAAAATGGCCAAGCACGGTGGCTCACGCCTGTAATCCCAGAACTTTGGGAGGCCAAGGCAAATAGATCATGAAGTGAAGAGATTGAGACCATCCTGGCCAGTATGGTGAAACTCCATCTCTACTAAAATACAAAAAAAAAAAAAAAAATTAACCGGGTATAGTGGCGCGCACCTGTAGTCCCACCTACTTGGGACACTAAGGGAGGGGAATTGCTTGAACCTGGGAGGTGGATGTTGCAGTGAGCCAAGATGGCACCACTGCATGCCAGCCTGGAAACAGAGTGAGACTCCATCTCAAAAAAAAAAAAAGGACTCCATTAAGAAAATGTAAGTCAGAGACAGGGAGAAAATATAGCTGACAAAGGACTTGTATCAAGAATATGTAAAGAGCTCTTTAGTCAACATTTTTTTTTTTTGAGACAAGGTCTCACTCTGTCACCTGGGCTGGAGTGTAATGGTGCAATTATGGATGACAGCAGCTTCAACTTCTTCCTGGGCCCAAGCCATCCTCCCACCTCAGTCTCCTGAGTAGCTGGGACTATAGGCACTTGCCGCCATGCCTGGCTAATTTTTTGTACTTTTGTAGAGATGGAGTTTCACTATGTTGCCCAGGCTGGTCTTGAACTCCTGGGTTCAAACGATCCTCCCACCTGAGCCTCCCAGAATGCTAGGATTACAGGCATGAGAACAGCCCTAATAAAAATGAGCAAAAGACCTGAAAAGACAGTTCACAAAAGAAGATATATGGATGGAAAATAAGCCCATGAAAAAGTGTTCAAAGTCATTAGATATCAGGGATATGCAGATTAAAGCTATGATTAAATATAATTCGATACTTATCTTGAGGAATGAAAACATATGTCTACCAAAATGCTTGTACACAGAATGTTACTGGCCATTTTGTTGATAGTCATATGCTGAAGAAACCAAAATGTCCATTCATTAACAGAATACTTGATAAACAAAACTCTACTGTATATTATTAGAATACTGTTCAGGCTGGGCTCGGTGGCTCATGCCTGTAATCCCAACACTTTGGGAGGCCGAGGCAGGCAGATCACCTGAGGTCAGAGATCGAGACCAACCTGGCCAACATGGTGAAACCCCGTCTCTACTAAAAATACAAAATTAGCCAGGTGTGGTGGTGTGCACTTGTAATCCCAGCTACTTGGAGGCTGAGGCAGGAGAATCACTTGAACCCAGGAGGTGGAGGATGCAGTGAGCTTAGATCACACCATTGCACTCCAGCCTGTGCAACAAGAGCAAAACTCCATCTCAAAAATATATATATGTATAATAGCATAGTACTTAACAATGAAAAGGAACAAATTGCTGATTCATGTAATATTGCGGATGACTCTCCTAGACACGATGCTCATGGCACGGAATGATATATGTAGTGTGATTCCACTTAGGACGTTCTAAAACAGGCAAAGGTTAAACAAATTAAAATGATTGCTGAGATCTGGATGATGGCTCATGACGCTGGGAAGGAACATGAGGATATCTTCCATGGAAACGGAAATGTTTTAGAACGATAGGGGTGTGTCCGTGGGTAGAGGTTAAGCTACATACAGGAGGAATTCGGTTGATGCAAAGATGTTAACAATCTGGTATGGTTAGGCTTCTCTCCACCCAAATCTTTTTTTTTTTTTTTTGAGACGGAGTTTCGCTCTTGTTACCCAGACTGGAGTGCAATGGCGTGATCTCGGCTCACCGCAACCTCCGCCTCCTGGGTTCAGGCAATTCTCCTGCCTCAGCCTCCCGAGTAGCTGGGATTACAGGCACGCGCCACCATGCCCAGCTAATTTTTTTGTATTTTTAGTAGAGGCGGGGTTTCACCTTGTTGACCAGGATGGTCTCCATCTCTTGACCTCGTGTTCCACCCGCCTCGGCCTCCCAAAGTGCTGGGTGGGATTACAGGCTTGAGCCACCGCGCCCGTGTCGTCTCCACCCAAATCTTATCTTGAATTGTGACCCCCACAATCCGACGTGTCAAGGGACAGACCAGGTGGCGTGATAGGATCGTGGGGGCAGTGCCCCAGGTTGCTCTCGCAATGATGAGAGAGTTCTCGCAAGATCGATGAGCTTTTAAGGGGCTTTCCCTCTAGCTTCCGCACTCGTCCTTCCGGTTGCTCCTGGTGGAGGTGGCTGTTTTCCCTTTGCGTACTGCCGTGACTGTACCTTTCCTGAGGCCTCCCCGGCCGTGGGGGACTGTGAGTCAGTTACACTCATTCCTTTATAAATTACTCGTCTCGGCAGTTCTTCACAGCGGTGTGAAAACTTTCCAAAACACACCCCTTCGGCTGTTGACAGAAGATGTGAAATCCCTGTTTTTGTTGAGACAGAGTCTCGCTCTGTCACCCAGGCTGGGGTGCAGTGGCGCAGTGGCGCAGTCTCGGCTCCCGGCAACCTCCGCCTCCCGGGTTCGAGTGATGCTTCAGCCTTCCGAGTAGCTGGGATGACAGGCATGCGCCACCACGCCCAGCTAATTTTGTACTTTTAGCAGGGACAAGATTTCTCCATGTTGTTCAGACTGGTCTTGAACTCCCAACCTCAGGGGATCTGCTTGCCTCGGCCTCCCAAAGGGCTGAGATTACAGGCGTGAGCCACTGCACCTGGCCGAATGCCTGTATTTCTAAAGTGAAGTTGCTGATAGAAAATATGGAATTTAGTGGTTTGTCCGGGTGAGGGGCTGTCCGCATCTTTGCTGCATTGTTTGCTTGTTTGTTTGAGACAGGGTCTTGGTCTGTTCCCCAGGCTAGAGTGCAGTATCTCAATCTCAGCTTACTGGACCCACTGCTTCCTGAGTAGCTGGGCCTATAGGTGCACACCACCACACCTGGGTCATTTCAGTATTTTTTTTGTAAAGACAGGGTTTTACTATGTTGCCCAGGCTGGTCTTGAACTCTTGGGCTCAAATGATTCATTGGCCTCGGTCTCCAGAGTGTTGGGATTATAGGTGTGAGCCACGATGCCCAGCCTGAAAGTGCTCATTTTAAAAAACAAAAAAAATTCGGCTGGGCATGGTGGCTCACGCCTGTCATTCCAGCACTTTGGGAGGCCCAGGTGGGCGGATCACCTGAAGTCCGGAGACGGAGACTATCCTGGCTAACACGGTGAAACCCAGTCTCTACCTAAAATACAAAAAATTAGCCGGATGTGGTGGCATGTGCCTGTAGTCCCAGCTACTCGGGAGGCTGGGATGGGAGAATCACTTGAACCCAGGAGGTGGAAGCTGCAGTGAGCTGAGATCACACTACTGAACTCCAGCCTGGGTGACAGAATTAGACTCTGTCTCAAAAAATAAAAAATAAATAAAAAAAATAAATTCATATTAGCAAAAATAAAAAGCATTCACATCGTCCCCAGCCATTGGTAATTTTTTGGAGAGCTGCAGGCTTTGGTGGTGGTGAGAATGGCCATGTGAGGGAACATGTGGCTGTTAGACTAAGCACTGTTTTCAAGATCACAATGGTGTAGTTGTTGGATCAAGTCATTAGAGCGTGAAGGGCTTTTTTTAAGTGGGAGGTTTTTGTTTTTTATGTTTGCTGGCCTCCTTTTCAGAATGAGAACAGGGGCCTTGGGTGTGTCAAACCAATTGCTGGTAATTACAAATTACTACTTTCCTCCAAAAGCCTTTGGGTTTTGTTTAGGTAATTAAGCTGGCAAGACAATTCACAGGGTGTTCCCGATGCCAGCACACCACCTTCCCGAACCCAAGAGTTCTTACAAAGCAAGAAGGGTCCAAAAAGCTAGTGTAAATGTTTCCTTCATTTTATTCCTGTGTTAATTTATATCCACTTACTTTCAGAAGGAGACAGGTAATTACAACACATGCGTGTAATTCCAGCTACTTGGGAGGCTGGGGCAGGAGAATCATTTGAACCTGGGAGGTGGAGGTTTCAGTGAGCCAAGATGGCGCCACTGCACTCCAGCCAGGGCAACAAGAACAAAACTCCATTTCAAAACAAAAAAGACGGGTTTTTTTCTCAGCACTAAACTGCAATAGGACTTTACTACCACTTGTATCTACATAGGGGACACAAAATCAAAGATCCTAACATTGTCACAGTGCCATTTCTTTCTTCTTTTTCTTTTTAATTGAGACAGAGTCTTGCTCTGTCACCCAGGCTGGAGAGCAGTGGCATGATCTTGGCTCATTGCAACCTCCACCTCCCAGGTTCAAATGATTCTCCTGCCCCAGCCTCCCAAGTAGCTGGAATTACACGCATGTGCCACCACGCCCGGCTCATTTTTGTATTTTTAGTAGAGATAGGGTTTCACCATGTTAGCCAGCTTGGTCTCAAACTCCTGACTTCAAGTGATCTGCTTGCCTCAGCCTCCCAAAGTGCTGGGGTTACAGACATGAGCCGCTGTGCCCGGCCCCGATACCATTTGGCTCTTAGGAAAGGCACAGAGGGCATTTAAACTGGGAGTAACCCACAGTAGAGTGAGTACACACAGACTTTGAGCCAGAATACCTGATTCAAATCCCAGCTTCACCACTTCCTGACTGTGTGACCTTGGGCAAGCCCCTTAAACTCCTTGTAGAATGGGATGAGGAGAGTTTGTTTCTCTGCAGATGTTGTGACGATTAAATGAGTTGCTATATGCAAAGTGCCTCAAACAGCACCTGGCTTGAGTTAAAGCTATGTGAGTGTTTATTGTTTTAATTGTCTTTTGGCTTATAATTTCACTTCTCGAAACATATATGAAACACTAGAAAATTGCACTAAAATGTGCATATAAGGATATTCATTGCAAAGTTGTTTAGAATGATCAAAAAAGAAAAAAGAAATTAGATGTCCACAGATAGGGAATACATAGTTCATACAAACATTACAGAGTATGATGTGGATGTCAGTTTAGTGATCTGGAAAGATGTCCATGCCATATATATATATGTTTTTATTTTATTTTATTTTTCTTTGAGATGGAGTCTCGCTCTGTGGCCCAGGCTGGAGTATAGTGTTGTGATCTCAGCTCACTGCAACTTCTGCCTCCCAGGTTCAAGCAATTCTCCTGCCTCAGCCTCCTGAGTAGCTGGGATTACAGGTGTCCGCCACCACGCCCCACTAATTTTTGTATTTTTAGTAGAGATGGGGTTTCACCATGTTGGCCAGGCTGGTCTCGAACTCCTGACCTCAGGTGATCTGCCCACCTTGGCCTCCCAAAGTGCTGGGATTACAGGCGTGAGCCACCACACCCAGCTGACTGCCCCAATTTCATGAATGTTAGCTAAAGACGGGAGACTCTGGGACCGGAGAAAAAGGATGTTTACTAGTCACAGCAGCAGCAGTACCAGGTGTTTGCAATTGTGCTAGTTTCCTCAGAATCATTTCCCACAAGGTGACACGAAGAGGCTCTAGGTAATGTCAGGACATAAGGGCTTAGATTACAGCAGAGGAGCCAGAATCTTCTGTAAAAATTGGAGCAAATCTGCCTTTTGCTCTGAAGGGAGATGCGATCTCTGTCTTCCAAGGCTATTCATGGAGTAAAGGAGAGTTGGAATCACAGGGAGTCCTTGGTGATGGAAATGGAGTAGGGCGAGAATTCCAAGTGGGGAATTGTCTCCCAGTAACTGGAGCCCTCACCTTTCATGTGCATGGAGTTCCCTGGGGACTTTGTTAAACCACAGGTTCTCTTGCAGTAGATCTGGTCCGCAGGGAGGACCTGAGAATCCACTAACAAGGGAGTTTCTTTTTTTTTTTTTTTTTTGAGATGGAGTCTTACTCTGTCACCAGGCTGGAGTGCAGAGGCACTCTCTTGGCTCACTGCAACCTCTGCCTCCTGGGTTCAAGTGATTCTCCTGCCTCAGCCTCCTGAGTAGCTTGGACTACAGACACACACCACTACGCCTGGCAAATTGTTGTATTTTTAGGAGAGATGGGGTTTCACCGTATTGGTCAGGATGGTATCGAACTCCTGACCTTGTGATCTGCTCGCCTTGGCCTCCCAAAGTGCTGGGATTACAGGTGTGAGCCACTGCAACCCACCTCTTTTTTAAAAATTTTGTTGATTTTATTTATTTTTTTGAGAGAGTCTTGCTCTGTTGCCCAAGCTGGAGTGCAGTGGCGTGATCCTGGCTCACTGCAGCCTTGACTTCCCAGGCTCAAGCCGTACTCACACCTTAGCCGCCCAAGTAGCTAAGACCATAGGATGCACCACCACACCTGGCTGATTTTATTTTTTGTAGAGACAGGGTCTCACTATGTTGCCCAGGCCAGTTTTGAACTTCTGGACTCAAGGGATCCACCCACTTTGGCCTCCCAAAGTGCTGGGATTATAGGTATGAGCCACCATGCCCAGCCTCTTTTAAAAAGATGTTAATTGGGACTGCAGGCACACACTTCCATGCACAACTAATTTTTGTATTTTTTGTAGAGACAGGATCTCACTATGTTGCCCAGGCTGGTCTTGAACTCCTGGGCTCAAGTGATCCTCATGCCTCAGTCTCCCGAAGTGTTGGGATGACAGGCGTGAGCCACCGCGCCTGGCCTTGGTACCTTATTATCAACTCAGTGGTTCCCGCCTGTAATTCCAGCACTTTGGGAGGCCAAAGTGGGTGGATCACCTGAGGTCAGGAGTTTGAGACCAGCCTGGTGACATGGTGAAACCCTGTCTCTACTGAAAATATAAAAATTAGCTGTGCATGGTGGCGTGCACCTGTAATCCCAGCTACTCGGAGGCTGAGGCAGAAGAATTGCTTCAACCGGGAGGTGGAGGTTGCAGTGAGCCAGGATCACTCCACTGCACTCCAGCCTGGGTGACAGAGAGGGAGTCCATCTGAAAAACAAAAACAAGAAAACATTTGTTATTTTTTAGAAACAGGGTCTCTCTCTGTCACCTAGGCTGGAGTGCAGTTGTGTGATCCTGGCTCACTGCAACCTTGAACTCCTGGGCTCAGTTGATCCTCCTGCCTTAACCTCCTGAGTAGCTGGGAGGTCCAACTAATTTTTTTTTTTTTTTTTTTTTTGTAGAGTTAGGTTCTTGCTGTATTGCCCAGGCTGCTCTCTAACTCATGGCCTCAAGTGATCCTCCCTTTCAGCCTTCCAGTGTGCTGGGACTACAGGCCTGAGCCACCATGCCCAGCCTGACCAGGGAGTTTCTAACCAGCCCCGGTTGTGCGGGCTCTTCTGGTCCCAGGCCCACATCTTGTGCAGCACAGCCTTCAGCTCCCGTCCTCAATGGCAGACCCAGCAGGAGCTGCAGGCTGAGGCTGTGCAGCAGAGCCTGGGAGCATGGCTCCGGGACAGTGCAGCGGGGTACAGGCCTGTCTAGTGGTGGTCAGAGGGGGTGTTACTGATGTCACAGGCCAGCTTAGAGCATGGACACACGCACACAGTGTGGCCAGGAGGTCTGAGAGAACGTTCCCCATCACTCTGGGGGCCTCGGGAGCCGGCACGATGGAGGTTTCTATGGCCCCAGGTCCCACATCCCTTTCCAGCCACAGTTCCCAGGAACAGTTCCCAGGTTCCCAGGAACACCACTGCTTTGGTTCCTGTGACCCCACTGATGAGCCACAGTGCTGCTGCAGTCTCTTTCCCCCCGTTGCTGTTGACCCCTGTGGTGGGGGTTGTGCGGCTTGGCTCTCACCTGCTGTGGTCTGAGACACCACAGTGCAGTCATTAAGAGCAGGAACTTTGGAACTAGCTGCCTGGGTGTGACACCCCAGCTCCTCCTCTTCCTGCTGGTGGCCCTGGGCAAGGCACTCCCCAGTCTGTGCCCATTTCCTTGGTGTGACGGGAATCACAGCATCTTGCACGTCCAGCATTGTCATGGGGCTGAGATAAAGTCGTGTGTTCAGCGGCCAGCGCCAGGCCTGGGCAGGGGAGGTACCACACACACAGGAGCCACTCTGGTCAGTGTTTTGGCAGCAACCAGCAGAGAACAGCATATTTAGCAGCTGCTTGATATGTATTTCCTAAAAGAGAACCGGAGACCTTAGAGCAATTCAGCTGTGTAATTCCAGCAATCACCTCCTTCCTAAGCCTCAGCTGTGAAATGGAAATAACAATTCCTACTGCAAAGGGAGCAAATGAGATACAAGAACTTATAAACTATAAAATGCCATAAAATATCATAGCTACAATTAAAGGTGGGGGCAAGACACAGAACACATGCCATAAAAACATAACACAGGTTGGGCGCGGTGGCTCACGCCTGTAATTTCAGCACTTTGGGAGGCCCAGGCAGGTGGATCACCTGAGGTCAGGAGTTGGAGACCATCCTGGCCAACATGGTGAAACCCCATCTCTACTAATAATTCAAAAGTTAACCAGGTGTGTTGGCAGGCGCCCGTAATCCCAGCTACTTGGGAGGCTGAGGTAGGAGAATCACTTGAACCCAGGAGGTGGAGGTTGCACTGAACCAAGACCACACTATTGAACTCCAGCCAGAGCAACAGAGTGAGACTCCATCTCAAAAACAAAAACAAACAAACAAAAAAACAACCCATAATACAAATAGCTACACACGACTCTGGGTATGAGCATAACAAGTGGACCCCATCATTATTCCCCCACCATCTTTACTGACGTGTCATTGACAAAAATAACGAAGCTAAAGGGGCCATTCAGTGCTTTTTTTTTTTTTTTTTGAGATTGAGTCTTGCTCTATCACCTAGGCTGGAGTGCAGTGTCAGCTCTGCCTCCTGGGTTCAAGCAATTCTTCTTTCTCAGCCTCCCAAGCAGCTGGGATCACAGGTGTGCACCAGCACACCTGGCTAATTTTGTATTTTTAGTAGAGATGGGGTTTCACCATGTTGGCTCTTGGCCAAGCTGGTCTCGAACTTCTGACCTCAAGTGATCCTTCCGCCTCAGCCTCCCAAAATGCTGGGATTACGGGCATGAGCCACTGTGCCTGGCCAGGGCCATTCCGTCTTACCTGGCTCTTAACTCCCGCAGCAGTGACCTCACCCCTGTGGGACACAGCATCGTTTCTGAGCATTGGCAGTGGGAGTCTTTGGGTGCCAAAGTAACACACTGTTTCTTACGACAATGTTGGGTTTTGGGCTTTCCAGCCCTCAGCTTAAGGGCGAGACAACTCACTGAGAATCATGACTGATGGAGGAGCCCAACTGTATAGTTACTGCTGTGTAACAGGATTACCTCCAAATGCAGTGGCTTTAAACAACGTTATTATCTCAGTTTCTGTGGGGCAGGAATCTGGGTGCCTCTTGACTGGCTTGGCTGCCTCTGGCTCAGGGTCTCTCACAGAAGCAGGCACCTCAAGACTCAGCTCGGCTCCAGCGGCTTGCAGGTGGCTCCTGTGGCCTCAGGCCCACTACGCTGCTGGGTGGAGACCTTGTGTCTTTCCATGGGGGCACCTTTCCTCAGGCTGCCTACAGCACCACAGCTGGCTTTCCCCAGGGCAAGAACCCTGAGAGAAGGAAGGAGATAGTGTGTGTCAGGCTGGGCATGGTCTGTAAATCCCAGCACTTTGGGAGGCTGAGGCAGGAGGATTGCCTGAGCCCAGGAGTTTGAGACCAGTTTGGGCAGCATGGTGAGACCATGTCTGTACCAAAAATACAAAACTTAGACAGGTGTGGTGGTGTGTGTCTGTGGCCCCAGCTACTCTGGAGGCTGAGGTGGGAGGATCACATGAGCCTGGGGAAGTTGAGGCCACAGGGAACTGTGATTGTGCCACTGAAATCCATCCTGGGCAACAGAGCGAGACCATGTCTCAAAAAGAAAAAAATGCGTCACATGGGAACCAGAGCTTCCCATTCCCTCTTTCTCTTTCTGTCTCTTGCTAATAAATAGACTTTATTTTTGTATTTTTGAGACAGAGTTTCACTCTGTTGCCCAGGCTGGAGAGCAGTGGCGGGATCACGGCTCACTGCAGCCTTGACCTACAGGCTCAGATAATCCTCCCACCTCAGCCTCCCGAGTAATTGGGACTCCAGGCACACACCGCCATGCACAACTATTTTTTGTAGAGACAGGGTCTCACTATGTTGCCCAGGCTGGTCTTGAACTCCTGGTTCAAGTGATCCTCACACCTCAGCCTCCTGAAGTGTTGGGATTACAGGCGTGAGCCATCGCACCTGGCCTTGGTTCCTTATTATAAACTCAAGTCCATAGTTTACCTGAAGGTTTAAGGATCTGAACAACTGCATAATGACACCCCCCCATGATACCATGATGTAACTCCCATCATGGTATCATGTGGAATAGTCTCAGAGCCCTAAAGTCTTGCGCTGCACCCACCCATTGCTCCTCTTCCTCCTAAACACAACCTTTTTGTAACTTCCTCTTGGAAGTGACATCCCATCACTTTTACCATATTCTGTTCGCTAGAAAGAGCCAATAGTTTCAACCCACATTCAAGAGATGAGCATGAAATCCAGGAGGCAGAGATCCCTGGGGGCCATTTTCCATGCCAGCCCACAGAAAGACAGTCACGTCCCCATGTGTGTCTTCCTGTGGGACCCACGTGGATGTTCCTTAGCTTACACAGGAGCACTTCATTCCTGAGTCTCAAAGTGCTACCTGTGTGTGTGTGTGAAGCATCTCCGTCCCAGAACATGCAGAAGCTTCTCGTGCTGGGAGTCATGTGGGCACATTCTGGCTACATGACTAGTGTTAACGGGGAAACTCAGGTGCAATTCATAAACCCGGATGCTATAACTGAACAGTTCTGACGGGCTGACACATTCTGCTTCAAAACAGCTCATGGGCCCACAGTTACAGAATGCTCTTTATAGAGTCCCTAGCATGGGCCAAGGGCTGTAGCTTGGAGATAAGCATGTAGGGAATCCAGATCAATCGAGAAGGACTCATGCTACACAAACTACTCCCATGACCCTTAGTCAGAGGCTTTTAAAAATACATCTTTTTTCAATCTCAGCTCACTGCAACCTCTGTCTCCCAGGCTTAAGTGATCCTCCTACCACAGGCTCCCAAGTAGCTGGGACTACAGGTGTGTGCCACCATGTCCTGCTAATTTTTGTGTGTTTTGTAGAAATGGGGTTTTGCTGTGTCACCCATCTGGTCTCAAACTCCTGGACTTGAGCAATCCACTTGCCTCGGCCTCCCCAGGTGCTGGGATTCCAGGCGTGAGCCACAGCGCCTCACCAAAAACAAATCATTCTTGGTAGGTTACTGGATGGGGCATAAAAAAAGAAAATAAATAAATAAAAATGAATCATTCTTGATAGGTCATTGGATGGGTTATAAAAAATTAAAAAGTAAAAATAATCATTCTTCATTCGGAAGGCAATGTACAAGTCTCTTCTAGTTGTCATTTCTCCGGGGAATCACTCCATTTCTTTTTTCCTGGGATGGAGTTTCACTCTGGTTGCTGAGGCTGGAGAAATCACTCTGTATTCTATACAGACTCTGGATTGGACAGGCGTGGGGGCTCATGCCTGTAATCCCAGCACTTTGGAAGGCCGATTGCTTGAGCTCAGGAGTTTGAGACTAGCCTTGGAAACATGGCAAAATCCAATGTCTACCAAAAAATACAAAAATTAACCAGGCATAGTGTTGTGTACCTGTAGTCCCAGCTCCTTAGGAGGCTGAGGTGGGAAGATCACTTGAGTTTAGGAGGTGGAGGTTGCAGTAAGGCTAGATCGTGCCACTGCACTCCGGCCTGTGTGACAGAACCATACCCTATCTCAAAGAGAGGAGAGAGAGGGACAGAGACATTCTGAATAGATTCATTTTTTTTTTTTTTTTTTGGTGATAGAATCTCGCTCTGTTGCCCAGGCTGGAGTGTAGTGGCGCAATCACTCACTGCAGCCTCTGCCTCCCAAGTTAAGCGATTCTCCCACCTCAGCCTCCCAAGTAGCTGAGACTACAGGTATGTGCCACTGCGCCTGGCTAATTTTTATATTTTTAGTAGGATGGTGTTTTGTCATGTTGGCCAGGCTGGTTTTGAACATTTGACCTCAAGTGATCTGCCTGCCTCAGCCTCCCAAGGTGCTGGGATTACAGGCGTGACCCACAGTGCCTGGCTTGGTTCAGAATAGCTTCTGTAACAATCTATTTAGCTGACGCTTCCCGTTGGGCTGCCTTGCCCCGCTCCACATTTGAGGTCTCAGTAGCCATCACACACTGCATTCACCTGGCTGTTGTGATTAGTCCAGTGATGGACATATGACCTCTGCCAGGCCAGAGACCTTGGGATTGATATGGACACTGGATAGGGACAGAGGAGTAACTCTCTTTTTGTTACAAAATTGTAAGGATGTGAGTGGCGGTCTTTGCCATCCTGTGATGAGAACCTGCCTGAACATAAAGCTGATATGGAGGAGGCAGGGGTGAAATACGGAGAGAGAGAGACATTTTGATGACATAGTGTGACCTCCTGGATCTAGCCATGCCTGAAGCTACAGCCAACCCTGGACTGTTGGCTTTATAGATCAACCATTCCACCGGGGTTGGACCCCTTGAGGTCAGGAGTTGGAGACCAGCCTGGCCAACATGGTGAAATCCCATCTCTACTAAAAATACAAAATTTGGCCAGGCGTGGTGGGTCACGCCTGTAATCCCAGCACTTTGGGAGGCCGAGGCAGGCGGATCATGAGGTCAGAGGATTGAGACCATTCCTGGCTAACATGGTGAAACCTTGTCTCTACTAAAAATACAAAAAATTAGCTGGGAGTGGTGGTGGGCGCTTGTAGTCCCAGATACTCGGGAGGCTAAGGCAGGAGAATGGTTTGAACCTGGGAGGTGGAGGTTGCAGTGAGTCGAGATTGCACCACTGCACTCCAGCCTGGGCAACGGAGTAAGACTCTGTCTCACAAAAAAAAAGTCAATGAGTCCCCTTGGTCTGTAAGGCAGTTTTCACTGTGTTTTTTGTTTCTTGCCCTGAAGGAGTCCTCACTGCCACAGCCTGGGTGTGAGAAAGAGTGAAAACTTCTAACCTCAGGTGTTTTGAGTTGAAGCGGCTTCTGTGCTCCCAGGAGCCTCCGTCCCAGCTGCATTCTAGCTTTACACACTAAGCGCCAGCCTTTGGTCCTGCTCCTTCCTGCTCCACGTTCTCCTGCTCCGGACTCTTCATTCTTCCTGTGGTTTGTGTGAATTCTATCTCTTGCCAGCCTCTGAAGCCACATTGCTCTCATGAAGCTCACCCTTCCAGGAGGATGGTCTCCACCATGACATGGGGCAGTCTCCCTAGCAGCCATGCGGCCACACCGACCTGAAATACCACTGATGAAAACTCTTACAGTTGTTTCCTGCATCCCAGGCGCCGGGTGCGATGCTTCCCTGTATTTGATTCTCACAGCACTAAGACAGGTATTTGCGTTCCTCTTTTGAGATGAGGAAACTAAGGCTCTGAGAGATGAAGCTGCTGCCTGGGGCACAACGCCAGCAGGTGATGGGAAAGAGATTAATTCAGCTCTGATTAATTCAAAGCTCACCATCTTAGCTACCTTCCTAGAATGTTACTTCCTGGCTGGGAGACGACCACAGACCCCGTCCCTGCCTCTCACCATGATGGAAGGTGCTGCTAAGCGACCATCTGAGCCCAGGGCGCCCTCATGCTCCTTCGTGGCCTGTGCTCCAGATGCTATGGTGGAACTGGGGGGCACACGAGATGCCTGCCCCAGGGCTGCCCCCTGTTCTCTCTCTGCCTTTACCCTAACACCCTGGGGCACCAGTGAGGTCCTGTGGCTGGTTTCCTGTCCCCTCCTCTCTGTGGACAGCAGGGAAAACAGGCCTGGCTTGAGCACAGGGGAGAGCTGTTCCTGTTTGCTAACCCTTCTTCATGGCAGGAGAGGACTCTTCCAAACATCTCTTCAGTGTATTTGGACAGGTCACGAGGGCAAATGTGGAAACTCTGTAACTGGCCTTTTAAGGAAGGGTGAGAAGAGGGCTGCTCCACCAGCCCAGGGCCAGCAAGGACCGAGATGCCCTCTTTGACTTAACTATTTTCTTTTTTTTTTTTTAGACAGAGTCGCTCTGTTGTCTAGGCTGGAGTGCAGTGGTGAGATCTTGGCTCACTGCAAGTTCTGCCTCCTGGGTTCAAGGGATTCTCCTGCCTCAGCCTCCCTAGTAGCTGGGACCATGCAGTAGCATAGGCATCTGCAACCATACCCAGCTAATTTTGTACTTTTAGCAGACAGGGTTTCACCACATTAGCTAGGCTGGTCTCAAACTTCTGACCTCAGGTGCTCATGTGCCCCAGCCTCCCAGTGTTGGGATTACAAGCCTGAGCCACTGTGCCTGGTCATTTTCACTTAACTTTCAAATGAGCATTCTGTGACATTTATATCAGCTTTTAACTTCTCCTGTGTATACTGTACACTCATTTGTTGTCTACCCCCAAACACTAACCTCTTGAAGTTTAGGGATCTCATCTTAGCTCTCCATGTTGTCCCTTTCAGACCCATGGTGCTGCTGAAGTAGCTGAGACTTCCCCAGAGACCATGCTCTTTCTTTGGACATTTCAGCTAGAAATGCCAGGAGATCTCTCTCTCTCTCTCTCTCTCTCTCTCTCTCTCTCACACACACACACACACACACACACACACACACACACACACGACCAGCCCTCAGCCAATGCCTTAGGGGGAGTATAAATACTCCAGCTTCCTCACCCTCAGGTGGGATAATTCTAGAAGTGGGTTTCCCTATGGAATTAAGCTCTATTTGCCCAGTATGAAAGCTGGCCTCATAGTCCCTGGAAGTGGGGCTAGGCACAGTGGCTCATGCCTGTAATCCCAGTATTTTGGAAGGCCAAGGTGGGAGGATTGCTTGAGGCCAGGATTTGAGACCAGCCTGGGCAACAGTGAGACAGCCTTTACCATCTCTACAAAAAAAATTGTAAAAATTAGCTGTGTTGGTACTTGCCTGTAGTCCTTGCTACTCAGGGGGCTGAGATGGGAGGATCGCCTGAGCCCAGGAGGCTGACTGCAGTGGGAGCTGTGATCACACCACTGCACTCCAGTAGAGGCAGCAGAGTGGGATCCTGTCTAAAAAGAAAAGTCCCTGGATTGGCCGTCTCCCTTCTCTCTCTCACCCTCTCATCTTTTCTTCACCTCTGGGATAATCTGCTTACATTTGAATCCTCATCTCCGGGTCTGCTTCTGAGAGAACACAAACTAAGACAACACACAGCCCTCCGTCACTGGGTATTTGTGGCAGGAGGAATGTGTATTTAGGAGAAGCAGGGTAGTGAGGCTTTTTATAATGGGGGTTAGGAGAGGACCATGTTTATAAGACAAGCGGTATTCCTTTTGGGACTTCCCGTGGTAACTTTCCAGGGATGAGGTTCTGGAACCCACTTATTTTGAGGCCAAATAAAGCCAGGCCATGTATTTAATTAAAACAGAAAAAGGCTCCAAGAGATTCAGGGCATTGTCTTGGGCCTATGGAAACAGGCGCCGTGTGAGTTTCACCGTGAGTTTGAGACTTAAGATGTAAATAATCTACACACTTTCTTGTCTTTTTGGGGCAGATGATACACATCCAGCTGTGGTGAGGAATTAAACAACAGATGTCAGCTTATTTAAGAAAAGGGGAATTCTGGAAAGGACTCTGTTCACTAAGCTGCTTTTGTTCTCAAGGAAAGGCGGCTTCCCTGGGCACCCAAGGGCATCTTGGTGACGGGAGAGTCGGCCTCATCCGCACACCAAATGTCGGCTTCCTTCAGATACAGGTCTCATTTCCTCTTAGGATGACTTTTTTTTTTACATATAAACTTGTGGTAAGGGGAAATTACAAGCTTGTCAGGGTCATGGGTGGAGTTTCACTCCAGCAGAGTGGGAGCTGAAGAGAGTATAGAAGCTGTGGGGTAACGTGTCCTTCGAAGTGGAGCTTGGGGGCTCGGCTTTCAGCGCGGGCCGCTGGCCGCTAGACCTGCCGTCTCTGTTGGAGAGGTGGGGCAGGGTCTCGGGGGTCTCCTCGGCGTTGGGGTTAGAGTGGAAGCCCTTGGCCAGACACTGGTAGCGCTTTCTCCTGTTGAGCTTATAGATGCGAATCCTCTCTTTCTCTGCCTCCGGGTCGGCAAGAATTCCGTCCCAGCGCAGACTCTCATTGATCCGGTTCGAAAGGTTCTCCGCTACTTCGGCGAAGTCGGGGAGGCTGACGGTGGAGGAGTTGGAAGGCAGGTGCCTGCTTTCCACCTTGCTCTGTCTGTGCTCTGGTCTCCGGCCACGGTCTTCGCCGGAACTTAAGATGTCGTGAAAGGATGGGGAGAGCGGCCGGCTCTTCAGGCTCTGGCTCTGATGTTTGTCTGCTGAGGAGACGAGGAGTTTAGTGGTGGGGCGAGGTCTGCTCTTGGCCTGCTGGGGATGGTGCCCAAATCACCAAAGATGGAAGGGAGGGCCTCTGTACCCAGGGCTCAGGCTGCCAAGCCCACCGGCCTCGTGCCCACCCATTTCCTGTGTGCTTCTGCTCAAGTCATTCTGGGGCGGGAGGAACCGTTCTCTGAGCAGACACCGAGCCACGCCCTCTGGGTAAAGGCTCTTAGGCCCTGTTGCTAGGGTGAGGAAACTCCAGGAACCTGCCAACGTCCTGAGCGAGCGGCAGAGCTGGGAATCAGTGCAGGCTGGCCCCAGTGCCCTCTTTTTCCACCAGCCGTGCTGCCTCCACCCACCCTCACCGCGTGCTCCTCACGGCCGTTTCCCAGGTCTGGGAGTCTGGGACTGTGCCCTGTCTAGACAGTCTAAGATGGGAGAAACGGAGAACAGAAAAGCCTCCTAAATTTGACTGATGAAAGCAACACTATGCCAAGCCAGAAATGCTTCCGCCGTATGGCTTGTACTGTTATTATTATTATTTTACATCAATAGCACAACAGAATTATTTAACATGCACATAAAATGCTACAAATTGTGGTTCTTTCATCAGCTCATCCTTGTATTTTAGGGGAGAGAGAAATATCTCCTTCCCTAAGAAAAAAAGAAAAGAAAAACAATGATCTTTTGATGTCTCCCTACCTTTCTACTCCCTAAAAACTATCTAGTGTCCCCTGCTGACAGCATGAGGTACATGCCACTGTAATTTATTTATTTATTTATTTATTATTTATTTATTTTGAGATGCGATCTTGCTCTGTGGCCCAGGCTGGAGTGCAGTTGTACAACCTCAGCTCACTGCAACCTTTGCCTCCCAGGTTCAAACGATTCTCCCACCTCAGCCTCCTGAGTAGCTGGGACTACAGGTGCCCACCACCACATCCAGCTAATTTTTGTATTTTTAGTAGAGACCGGGTTTCACCATGTTGGCGGGGATGGTCTCAATCTCCTAACACTGTGATCTGCCCACCTCAGCCTCCCTAAATGCTGGGATTACTGGTGTGAGCCATGCCACTGTAATTTCTACAGTGAAAAGCTACACCAGAAGGACACTGAACCGCCAAATTTCTTTTTGCAGATATACATGGGACTTTTTTTTTTTTTTGAGATGGAATCTTGCTCTGTCTCCCAGGCTAGAGTGCAGTGGCATGATCTCGGCTCACTGCAATCTCCACTTCCCAGGTTCAAGCGATTCTCCTTCCTCAGCCTCCCAAGTAGCTGGGATTACAGATGCGCACTACCACACCCAGCTAATTTTTGTATTTTTAGTAGAGACAGAGGTTCACCATGTTGGCTGGGCTGGTCCTGAACTCCTGACCTCATGATCCACCTGCCTCAGCCTCCCAAAGTGCTGGGATTACAGGCCTGAGTCACCACGCCCGGCCTAGGGCTTCTTTTTTTTTTTTTGAGACAGAGTCTCACTCTGCCACCCAGGCTGGAGTGCAGTGGCACAATCTTGCAACCTCTGCTTCTCAAGTTCGAGCAATTCTAGGTGGCTGCCACCATGCCCAACTAATTTTTGTGTTTTCAGTGGAGATGGGGTTTCATCATGTTGGCCAGGCTGGTCTCCAATTCCCAAAGTGCTGGGATTACAGGCATGAGCCACTGTGCCCAGCCACATAGGGCTTCTTGACCTAAACTGCAGAATTTTCTTCCTGAGAACTACTTATCTTCCTATTGCTCCCTTCTCACACTGCATGGTTGATGTGGGCAAGGCTTCCACTCCTGCCTCCTGCTTATCTTGGTGCCAGCTCTGCCACAGAGGGCCAGGCCAGAACTGAAGCTTAGGGCCATCTCCTTGACAGCCAAAGCCACTGAGGTGGAACAGATGGGTAACAGTGGACTCATAGCACTCACGAGCACCTGCATTCTCTGTCACTGCTGCACTCTCTCTCCTCAAAGTTGGTGCTCAGTTCCTTTGTCAAGAAATCTAGGGGTTCTACAAGAAGACCTTGGTGAGATGTAGGGATGGGGGGTTTGTAGCAGGTGCTGTGTGTTTGCGAAGGTGTTTCTGAGAGACACTGCAGTTCCTGCCTGCACATGACTGTGCATGTGAATGCATAACATATGAACTGTGTGTGTGTGTGTGTAGACTGTAGAATGTGAATGTGTGTGCGTGACAGGGTGAATGCATAACACATGAGCAGTCTGTGTGTGTGTAGACTGTAGTGTGAATGTGTGTGCACGACAGGGTGAATGCGTAACAGAACAGTCTGTGTGTAGACTGTAGAGTGTGAATGTGTGTGCATGATGGTGAATACATAACCTATGAACAGTCTGTGTGTGTGTAGACTGTAGAGTGAATGTGTGTGCATGACAGGGTGAATGTGTAACGTATGAACGGTCTGTGTATGTGTGTGTGTAGACTGTAGAATGTCAATGTGTGTGCCTGACAGGGTGAATGTGTAACAGAACAGTCTGTGTGCGTGTGTGTAGACTGCAGAGTGAGTGTGAATGTGTGTGCATGACAGGGTGAATACATAACACATGAGCAATCTGTGTGTGTAGACTAGAGTGTGAATGGGTGTGCCTTGCGGTGAATGCATAACATGAACGGTCTGTGTGTGTGTGTAGGCTGTAGAGTGTAAATATGTGTACCAGACAGGGTGAATGTGTAACATATGAACAGTCTGTTTGTGTGTAGACTGTAGAATGTGAATGTGTGTGCATGACGGTGAATGCAAAACACATGAACAGTCTGTGTGTGTGTGTAGACTGTAGAGTGTGAATGTGCATGACAGGGTGAATGCATGATGTATGAACAGTCTGTGTGTGTAGACTGTAGAGTGTGAATGTGTGTGCATGACAGGGTGAATGCGTAACATATGAACAGTCTGTGTGTTTGTAGTGTAGAGTGTGAATGTGTGTACATGACAGGGACTCATGCTTTAGTTTTTCTTGTTTTTGTTTGTTTAGAGAGAGAGGGTCTCGATTGTTGCCCAGGCTGGAGTGCGGGGGTGTAATCATAGCTCACTGCAGCCTGGAGGTCCTGGCTTCAAGTGATCCTCCCACCTCAGCCTCCCAAAGTACCCCACCCTTTAGTTTCCTCTGATGGTGTTACATTGATATGAACAGGGGCGTTGCGGAGGGTTTCGGCAGTATAGGAGGATGTCACAATGACTGATATAACGGGGTCTGTGCAGTCCCTTGGTGTGGAGTGGAATCCGTGCATGAGGACATTTTATACACACGTCTGTGGGTGTGGGGGTCTACAGCACATCCAGAGGCAGTAGCCTTCACGCACTAGGTGTGAGGAGGAGAGGCAGGAGTCTGCGTTTCTCTGTGCACTAGAGTGAGGTTCTTTCATGTAGCCTCAGTGTCTTTGGGTTGGGAAAGTGTCTTGTGAGGAGGGCCTCTGTGGGGAAGGTACAGACGTTTAAGATTGCCAGTTTTGGCTGAGGGATTAGGAAGTTGAGAGGGTGTCTTTGTGTGGGGCTAGCAGGCTCTTAGGAATAGTGTGTCTGTGGGGGTCTCTGTGTGGGGCTAAGGGACCGCAAAGTTGGTGGATGGTCTCCATGGGTGCAGCTGGGACATCACTGTGCTGCTGACAGGCATGTGTGGAGAGCAGGAGGACCTCTGTCTGGGACCGCTGAGCTTCTGTTTCTGGTCTGAAGGGTCTCCAGATAAACAGGGGTCCCTGGGACTGGCGGGAGTGGAGGGTCCAGGAATAATCTCCAGTACCAGAGCTGATGGAGCGGTACTAGCTGCTCCTCTTACCGTCCTCCTTGCCGGAACCCTTGGTCTTCTTCTTTCTCCTCTTCTTTTTCACCTTCCGTTTGGCCAGCTCGGAGGCACCGCCTGTGATGGGGGGCAGTCTAGACCCCCGGGGTTCCGCAGCGCCGCCCTCCCGCTCCTCCTCCTCCC